GCCGGGAGTGGGCGGGGCCTCGCTGGCGGCGGGAGCGGCGGGCCGGGGCTCCCGCGACGCGCGCCATGGCCCAGGCCGAGCCGGGGGCGCTGCCGCTGCTGGCGGAAGTGGCGGGCTGGGGCCCGGAGCGGTGTCGCCGGCAGCTGCCGGCCGCCCTGCCGCGCTTGCTCATATCCTTCTCCCCGCCTCTGGGGCCGGGCCGGGGCGGGCAGGCCACAGCCGGGGCGGCGGCACGGGGGGCGCGCCCGCCGCCTCCACCTCGTGGCGGGCTCGGCGCCCGGGCTGCGTGGCCCCACGCGTGGCCCCGCGGGGTCCCATGCGGGCCTCGGGCCCTGGCCGGGAGCCGGGCTGCCCTGCGGCTGTTGCGCGGCGGGGGCACAGCCGGCTCCCGAGGGGGCGCTTCCCCGTGGCCTTCCTGGCCTTCCGGCTCTGTGATTGCACCAGCTCTTGCAGAGCGGAAGTGGGTGATATTCTCGAACACTTTCGAGGAAGCCTGTATTTGCAGCACGTGCTTGTTGTTTTCCTTAATATTTGTACTCGGTGTACCAGGTCACTGAAAATTGGGCGCACCTTATTTGTAAGTAATTCCTGTGCAGACTTAGTTAGACTTGCCACACATGTTTGGTCTTTTATTCGCATATATTCTGCAGGCATTCTGTTGCTCCGCAATAAGTTCAAATAACAGCTTCATACATGATTGATCTTACTTTCCTTTCCATGATGAATGATGGCACGTTTTAGGAATGTGTATGTCAAATACTTCGTTTCACTATCATCTAGCAAAGAATTTTAAGATCTGCAAGTATCTCCATGATCTAGTAGCAGAGGTTAAAACTTGATCAGCTTCCCTTGCACTTAACATAATTTGCCTGTTCATTTAACAAACATGAATTTTTACATAAATGAAGCCTCATTTATTTGATGAATATACTGATTTATTATATGAAGTTAATATTCAGAGATTTTCTTTAGTCTGTACAATCTTTATAGTTATTTATCTATTATGTTATATCCTGCAGCCAGTCAAGAAGGATACAAGCTGATGTTTTGTGTTCAGGGGGAAAGAAAGCAGGTCAATGAGAAGGAAACTGGTGATAGAAACAGGAGTAGAAAGCTCTGCTTTTCTTCCTCTCCTTATGACCTGCCCTAACAAAGTTCAAAGAGGTTTGCAAAAGTCCGTAGTGTCGGGGCAGAAAGGGGACCATCAGCCATAACCAGGCTATGCATACAAGTGATGCCAGAGAGCAAACGCCAGCCAATGGGAAAGGGGGGAAAGCAGGAATCATAGATGCCACGATGGACTCTGTGGTGTGTACCAGGGCTAGCTGGAGGAATGAGGGGGAAAGAGTGGGAAGACACCCATGGTGAGCCCAGGTCTTTGTTGGACACACCATGGGGTCAAGGAGCTAGCACTCTGCTGTGGCTTCATCACTGGGTGGCCAAGCATGATGTGAACTTGCCCAATAAGTTTAGAATTACAGTCTTTCAAGCTAGTATCCTGTGTCATACTTAAAATCTCTGCTTGTAGTAGTTATAGCTTAATTTTTCTTAAAAACTGCAAAACAGCATTCCCATATAGGTTTGATCACTCATTTATGGTTAGAAGTCATTGTTCACCACCGTATCATCCTTGGATTGATTTCAGTAATGGTTCCTAAACTTACTCATTCACAGGTGTCTTAAGGACCATAACAGAGAGATTTCTACCTCACCTTAATATTTCTGAGCTAGAGCAAGCATTTTTCTCTAAAATATTACCAAAGGTATGAAGCTGTATATTACACTCACAAGTGTAAATTAAGACTATTGGGGGGAAACCTCTGAGCACACAGTGCTCTTGGGATATTTTATTCATTCCTTCGTTTCAATTCTGAACTGCCCCACAGCCAAAGCTCTTTGGGTGGTTTACCCAGTCCGTGAAAACGGGTGATTAAAAAAGAGTTTTAAATGGCTAAAAACAGATAACAGAAACTGACCATGACAAGGAATAACAACAAAGAGGGGCCCTGTGAAACACCTGGTGATCCCCCTCGTTCCCCTGGGTGTCTGAGCAAGTCCTTGAAAGCCTCAGACAAGAGGGCTGCCTTAACGGATGACGGGTTTGGTGGGGAGATTATTCCACGGATGGGGGGCAACCGCCACGGAAGCCTCTCCTTGCTGCCACCCGCCACGCTTTCCTTGGAGTTGGCACTTGGAGGAAGGTCCCAGAAGTCCAGTGTAATGTCTGGGTGGATTGCAGCTGGGAGTGGTGCTCCGAGAAGTCCTGTAGCGCTAAGCCATGTGAGGCCTCACAGCCTAAACCAGCATCTTGAACAGGGTCTGGAGCCCCACAGGCAGCCGGTGCCAGCAGGCCAGAGCTGGCCTTGTCTGTCTTCCCCAGCAGCCACTCGATGGACACTCTCACGCCGGGCACCTGCAGAGTCGGGCTCTTTCACGTGCACGGTATTTCCTGTTGTGGCTCATAGCTAATCACCTTGAATTAAAAGCCTTCCGAGCTGGGAGTGCTCGCCCAGGACCCTAGTTAGGAACAGTGGGAGATGAGTCACACATAATCCCATCCTATGGAAATGTCCTGCGTTTTGGTTGTAGAAAACTTGTGTACTTGCATATTCTCTGTAATGTAGTTTACTTATTTTAATCTCCTTTGTTTCGCCAGACAGTGCAGTTATTTGATCTTTTAACATATGAAATATCCAGCCAGGCCAAGCAATTAACAAAGCAGAATGTGGAGCTACATGAGACGTTAAGGAACCATCTGCAGGTGAATCTAGTGAAATTTGCTCTGACAAACTGAGTGTTGGTGATTACGTATTTTTCCACAGAGGTGTCAGTGTTTTGGGAGGATTTATACCAGCATATAAAGGTGTGGCTATTTCTGTGTAGAGAGATTCTGTCTAAATATATCCAGAGGAGTAGCTGTGCTAGTCTGTTGCAAGAAACCAGAAGCAAATTCTGTGCCAGCTTAGACTTAAAGACTAGTGCTGCTGGGAGCACAAGACTCTGTGTTGGATCTGTGTTGGGTTAGAAGCAGCATGAGTCGAACAGCTGATCTGCATAACTGACCACGCTGCATTCATTGTTCATTGTGGGGAATGTGCATATACTTCATCCATGAAGAGGGAATTGTGCATGTTCTCCGGCCATTGTCTCCAATAGACTTCGGGGCACGTGTGATTGCTAAAGCTGTTTGTAAATTCACTGGTCATTGGGCGCACACTTCAGCAGACTTTGGGCAGTGTGCATATCTCAGCTGTGGTGAATAACCACAGTATCTGGTTATTTACAGCCGCCATTGATTATGCCCAATGTGTCTGTAACTTTAGAAACAAAGTCATTATTTGCCTGAGAGCAACAGTTTGTTTTTTCCTGGAAACTTAGCACAGGCTGGTGCTGCACTGAGGCACCTGCTTCTGCTAAGGACGTGCCGTGAGCTTGACCGGCACCTGCATCCACCCATTCGTACCCACACAGGGCACTCGGGGGGGGGGGGCACGTGCGTTACATGGACTGTCTTGGTGCAGCCAGCACTGCTCTGTCGACGAGGGGCGTGATCGCTCCCTGCTGTTTGTTGAGCTAAATTTCCCCACTTCATCACAACATTCTGGAAACACCTTATCTGCTGTTCTGTGCAGGATGTGGTAGAGCGCATGTGACGGCCTTTGTGTGATGTCTCACTCAGAGCAGCATTTGAAAAGTCGAATAAAAACCTCACAGTCCTTTCAACTAATTGGCTGAAAGTATTGTGCAAATAGGCCTGCAAACTTTCCTTCCCCCCTCCCCTCCCCCAAAGTCAGAAAGCAATTTAGCAGAAGGATATGTTTCTTTTAGAGTTATTTATTTATTTATTTATTTTATTTTATTTAAACCATTTCTATGCCACCCCAGTCGCAAAAAGCCTCGGGGTGGCTTACAACAGAAATAAACAACTATATAATTAGCCTTAAAATCCAGAAACATCTCGGTACGTCCATAAAAACCCAATAAATACAATCAATAAATTAACAATTAAAATATCGTTTAAATAAAAAGGTCTTGGCCTGGCGCCAAAAAGCGAATAACGACGGCACCAGGCGGACCTCTCTGGGGAGCGCATTCCACAGATGGGTCGCCACCGCAGAGAAGGCCCTCCCCCAGGTACTCACCCTCCTAATATCTTTCACGATATTAGGAGGGTGCTGCCGATCTCAAGGGGTGGGAGGGCATAGACGGACAGATTTCTGTTAAGGTTTCGGATTTGGGCTGGATTGCGGTTTCTGTGCGCTCCACTGGTACTTTCATTGCCAATGGCTTCTCCATTGCAGGCGCTGGTGCATGTGCTGGAGGCCTTGACCGGGTGCGTGCGCCATATTTGTGCTGCGCAGGAGACGGTGCCCTTGGAGCATGTCCACAGCCTTCCCTCCTCGGTTCTCCATGTAATCAAGAGCGCATTTATGCATTGCAAGGTTGGTGGACTTGGCCACACAGTAAGCGTTTAAGAATCGTGATCTTATAACTGCGAAGCTGTTGTAGACTCTTTGTTTAAAAATTAGCCACCAAAATACTGCAGTTGCATGTGGTTTCTATGCTGAGCCACTTTGCAAAAAAGCCACGGCGGCTTGGCTGTTAGCTCGGAGGTGCTTCATTCATCCCCTCCTTGTTTGACCCTCCAGCTGATAACCCAAGGTCCTTTCACAGCAGACACTGAAAATCTCTCTCCCTCTCTCTCCCTACCCTACCCTGTCCTCGTCCTGTTTCATTGGTGGGTTTTGTGCTTAGCAACTGCAGATACTATGAATGAAGAAATAACCTGAGTTATGAATCAGTTTGAGATACTCTCTGTTTTCTGAACCTATATCCGGTACTGATCGGTGTAATGTGTACTTGCTGTCCCTGATTTTCTGTTTTTGCTACAGAACAGTGAATCCTTGTACAACGATTGTCTTCACTTGTTTTCTGATTTACTCCAAACCCTGTTTAAGGAGGGCTATGCTCTGCAGAAGCAGCTTATGGAATTGCTTGAGATGGTATCTGTGGACTCTTGCACTGCTGAAGACAGTGCAGCTGTTATGGTATCAGGTGTGTATATCAGGTGACTCTGAGCCAGTCGCAGCCTCTCAGCCCAGCCTCCCTCTCTGGGTTGCTGCTGTGGGGATGAGATGGAGAGCAAGAGGAGAACAACGTAAGCCACTCTGAATTCTTTAAAAAAGAGGGAAAAGGTGGGATATAAATAAAAAGATGCATCTCGAAACAGGCCACTCCTTACTGATACCAGGCACCCATTCTTTGGGTTTACTTCTGCAAGTGCAGTCGCCTTGCATTTAACTTTTGTACTCGTCTCTTTCCTAGTGATCCACAGTGTGCTGGAGATTTGCTCTGCTATTTCCAGAATAGACCATGCCCTTCATGCAAATACATGGAAGTTCATAATCAGGTACGTTTTCCTACTATTAATGTTACTGATTGTATTTTCAAAAGTTCTCAGCAGGTAGAGCGTATAGCCACTCGTTTATTAACAAGCAGTCTGACCGACTTTTGAGCTCGGATGAAGCTGTTGAATTTGAAGTAGAATAGTTCTCCAAGTGTAAAGCTCTCTGACTGAGAACCTGGACCATGCTTGAGTTTGTGGAGCAGCAGGTGTGCTCTTGATGCTAAAGCAGGTGGGGCCAGCAGCACAGATTTTATTTATTTATTTATTAAAACATTTCTATGCCGCCCCATTCGCCGAAGCCTCGGAGCGGCTCACAACATAAAATTAAAATATAATACCTACAACAAATTAACAATATAAAATAAGTCGCCCTGGCCAGATAAAATAAGCAAATAATATTAACAATTAAAATGACATTTAAATAAAAAGGTCTTCGCCTGGTGCCGAAAAACAAATAATGATTTGCTGGGTGTCCTCACCCTCCGTATATGCTGCCGCTCAGGAACCAGCCAGCCATGCCGTCCTCCAGGATTCCTGGTTTCTTCCTCCCTCCCACCTCCGTTTTCTGTTTTGCTCTTGCCACACATACTCAGCATTCAATGTCTTCTGACCGTGTGATCAGCCCTCCTTTGAGAGTCGGAGTAATTGCCTCCTTAGGCTCTTAGAAATATATTTTTCACTTCTTAGGGTTCCCAGGAGCGTGCCGAAGGTTTCAGCTTGTTTCTTGGTAGCGCAGTTTTGGCTCCATTCCTTTTGGCGCTCACCACCTGCATGCAGGATTGGAGGAGGTGATGGGGAGGTGGGGGTGCTAGTAATCTGTTGGTTATCGATGACCTGGCAAATACTTGTCTTTGTTAGGCAAAGTCTCAAGCACAAGTCCCTGATAAAGAACAGCTTGAAACATTCTGATATCTTCAGCAGCCTCTGTGAGGACATCCTGTTTTATTTCCAGTCTTGTTTGCAGTTGGCCGAGCAGATGAAACGGTCTGGTACACAGGTGAGCAGAACAGGCGCTTCTTGGACAGGCCAGAAACATACTCTTTGTGCTTTGGGGCCGCAGGCTTGAATCCTGGGAATTGTAGCTTTCCTTTTCCCTTTTTAAAAAGTGTATACCAAGGAGGGCAAAATCCTCTTCAGGTTTCTAACTCAGGACCTGCAAAAGTTGCCCCATAACAACTCGGACAAGCATCATGTTGACTTTCACTTAATGGGAGCAAACGTTGATGTTGTTCTGTAAAGTACTGGCGTAGCCAAAGTTTGTTGGGTAGTATATAGCTTATTAAGGCATGCTAGGAATTTAGGCTTTTGGTCTAAATTTCTACAGGGGTGTGCCTTAAATGTTACCTGTCTTGAGCTTTTAGAATTCCTGAGCACATGTTTTGCTCAGGAATTATATACAGCCAACTAAAAAAGGCAGCTGCGCCATAACTTTCATATATCAGGCTTTCCCCATTTCCTATTTTTACGATCATGTTGCACTTCCATTATCACACAGAAATTTTAAAACAGTGTTTAATGCTGTCCATTTGAGCTCTGTTACTTCTTCCCTCTCGGACAGGAGAACACTGATTACAAGTTGTTTCAGAGGACAATCAAATTGTGCAGATTCTTTGCCAATTCCCTGGCACACTACACTAAGGTAAATTACATACTATTCACCAAGGGGAAAGAATAATTTGATCTATACATTTTTTGTGTATTGCAGAATTTGAGCAAAACAAAAGATGAAGGGGAAAATGTGTCTTTGTAAATTTGAATGCATCAGTTTTTGTGCATGCAAATGAAGTGTATGTGTGTGCATATGAAAATGCAGCTTTCTAAGAATTACACATAAACTGCAAAAAGCAGACCAAGGTCCATATCACTGCTGTTCAAAAGTGGTGCGTGTGCATGCACAGATATGCATCTCACCCGTTCAAATGTAGAAGCTCCGTTATGCTGCCATCCTTTGCATTATAGTAGGTGAGTGTTTATTCCTGCACTATTGTGATATCTGTCTTTTAGTTTGTCAAATGTTGTGGAGAATCCAGTTTTGCCAACCATACCTTAAATTCCAGGAATGAGGTAGATAAGCTAAAAGGAGAGCTATGTAAGTAAAGGGTGTTCCAATACAAGATTTATCCATATAATGATCTCCCAAAAAGAGGCAGCTATTGGGTATTTCCAAAACATATGATTAAAAGAAGCATTAACTGTATTATACCTCCAGTAATTAGCTGATTTGGACAAAACCTTATAGAGAGACACTGTAGTCTCTAATAGACACAAAACAGAGTTTCTGATCAATAAGGCACAGCCTGTGCTCCATACAGGTGCTCGAATCACAATGCATTGATTAGACAAAATGTGATGATCCAGTTCCTTATTCTATTCCTGCTTAAGTCCCTGCGCATCCCCTCACCAAAATTTATGGATTTTGAAAATTTCAGCTTTTGAAAATATTTGCTAGGTATAGAAGAATTCCATGTAGTCTTGTCCTGTTTGGCTGTCCGTGTGCCCATGTGTTGAAGAAGAAGCTAGCATTTGTAGGGATGTATGCAATTTCCATTTGGGGAGGCGAAACCGTGGATTTTTGTTTCCATTCTCTCCCCTGGTCCCACACACACCCACATACACACACTCTGACATGGACTCAAGTTTACTGCATGTTTTCTTTCCAGTTTGTCTCTGTTTAGCATTCTGTAGGTGAAGCTGTTTGTCACTTGTAGCAATGAAGTAGTGTTTGTATAGAAATATTAAAGCAAATATAATTTTAAAAGTGAATTGCAGTGGTTATGGTAATAAAGGGGAGAAAGCTGATTCCATGGGAATGCTGGAAACCTGTTTGGGGCAGACACCCTGTGGCTCACTGTGACTCTGTCCAAGGCTCCAGCATATGAAAGGCAGGAGGGTTTTCGTTTGTAAAATTAATGGATTTCAAATTAAAATAGTGTATGACATAATTGGCTTTGCAGGAGTTCACGCCTTTCCTGGCAGATTCCTGCCCTCAGCTTCATCGGACGTACCTTGAAATATACAGGCAAGTGAAATGGAACGGGCTACTATTTGGTAGGTGACAAGAGGGGTCTGAATGCCATAAATACCAAAGGAGTGTGTACGCATCATGTTCATACTGACCGATCAGGTGCTGGATGATGGCTAATCGGAGAATCAACATCCCATCAGCGATTTCCTTACCAGAGTTTGGAAGTAAGCTTGCAAGCTGCTCTCCTGGCATGGTGACTTGCAAACTGGGTTGCAGCCAAAGGGAGTCGGAGCCGGCATCTCGACTGGCATGCCTGGAACTGCCCTGCCCGCTATCAGAGAGGACACAGGCGCACAGCGCTGCCACTGTCTGTGTGACAGCCTCAGATAATAGGGGAGGGGTGTCCCTTCAGATGCCAGGGTCTTGTCCTCTGCTCTCCATGGGATTTGCGGTTCCTCTTGCCACTGTGGCGTCTCCACAAACCTTTTCACAGTTTGGCGTGAAGCAGTGGCAAGACCTTGGCTGAAGAAGGCCTCCTTGGAACCCACCCTTCTGCCTGGGGCTCGAGATGGTCGTGGCAGCCCGGCTCCTGGCTCCCTTGGATGAAAGGGACTGTTCAGACCCTTCCCAGCCTTGGCTAAGCCTTGCCATGGCAGAGGAAGAGGAAGAGGATTTACCTCTGAAAGTGAGCAGAAAGAGAATTTCCCTGCTGGTGTTGGTGAACCTCACTGGGGCTTTCAGCACGTTTGGTCTGGCCTTTTTCTGGGGCACCTGCCCAAGATGGCGCTTGGGGAGCTACTTTCTGTTGGCTGTAGGTAATACTGGGAACTGCTGCTGACCTGTGGAGTCTCTCAAAGCCCAGTCTTGTCCCCGTACAGGGAAAGCATGTGGTGGATCTGCTCTGTCTCTGCCATCATTCACCTCGCATCAGAAAGGGTGGGACCGGAGCAGGGCCGCAGAAGCTGTTCTTAGATACTCAGGAAGCTTCATGAGGCATGGCTGGTCCTTCAGATAACCTGGCCACAAGCCAGTTAGGGCTCTGGGGGCCAAAGCCAGAGGTTTTGGTTGTGGCTAAAAAAGACCCCAAAGAACTGTGGATCTTGCACAGTTTTATCCACACAGCCAGCGTAAAATAATGACGTTATTTTGCATTGATCGTAGTTTCTGAAGGGTCCCCTCGAAGGCTGCCCCAAATACCATGCTAAGTAATTTTTCAAGTGCCACTACAGAGACCCGTCTGGCCAGGTTATCCTGGAGCAGGAAATGCTGCTGTTGGAGCCTGCAGTGGCAACACCCGGGGAAGGGGCACAGTGCCCTGCACTGCATGATTTTTAATCTCTGGAATTCATGCTTGGTTCAGAATGCAGCCAGTAACGAGATGCCCTGTATTCTCTCTCGGCAGCAAGCTTCCTCCAAGCCTTCATGCGCCGGTGATTTCCGAAGCTCACCAGGATGAAATAGCGAAGGGGTTCCTGGTGGTGCTGGATTCCCTCCTCCCAAAACTGCTCTCTTCTCGGCCTTTCCTGGAAGTGGTACTAAGCACAACTCTAGGTAGGCCAAAACGGGTTGATGAGGCTGCATTGCCTGTCCAGAGTGGGATCCTGGGTGCCCGGGGCTCTCGGGAGCCGGTCGTCTCTTCCAGCCACAGGCTGTCTTCTGGGATGCCGCGGCAGTCCAGTCGTAGGCACTTTTCAAAATAGGCATCAGTATAATCAGACTGATAAACTCAGCTCGCCTGTTTGGATGAACACCTGTTTCTTTGCTATTTTTAAAGTGTGATTCCTTTCATAGCTCTGAACTATTTTTCCTCTCTAATTGTTAAGACTGATCAGTTGTCTTCTGCAGCGAATTTCATATTTCATTGAAAATGCAGATATTGCCTGTTCTGACGTATTGGCCTGGTTTGCCTGCGGTGCCAACTTGTGGACCGTTGAACCCATGACCTTGCAGGGCTTCGCATGAGTGTGTTGCCTCGGGTGTGCTTCCCACTTCTGCTTTCAGGCAACAACCTGTGATCACCCATTTGCAGGTTGTTAGCATGATGTCCAAACCTGAACAATTGTGGTTGTTTGGGGGTTAAACAACCCAGCTTTTAACCCAGCATCAGCTGCTAGAGTAACTCTGCACTGTTCAAACCCTAAACAGCCCTAAACTAATCTCTTGTTTTCATGGATTGTTGCAAACTGTCCAGAGAGCTTCAGTGATGGAACAGTATGGAAATGGCACGAACCCACAAAGAATAATGCACATAGTGTTTGTTGACTTGGGGTTTCTGATCACAAATATGTGTACAAAACCCACACCTGGTAGATGTGCCATGGATCTTTAGGATCTCTTAGCTCTTGAGTTTTAACTGTTTAGCCTGGCAGGACACGACTTGAGCGCCTCATAAAAATGAAAACTTGCTGAGCAAGTGTAACACTTTTTCAAAAACGCGATTGCAGATCTCGCCCCCGAGCTCCACCTCCCGCAGTGCCGTCTTCTGCTTTCTGTCATGGACTTGCTGCCATCCCAGCCCCAGGACGTGCAGGCCCTGTGGAATGCGGGAAGTCGGCTCCCGCAGGCGTTTCCCAGGTACTTCCTAGCTGCTGAAGGCGGGGACTTGCTTGACTCAGCCTGCCCTGTGCTGGCAAGCCCTTGGGATACCTTGACTAGGCCTTATCAAGGAAAGGTACAGCGATCCATTGAGGGAAGGGCATTGAGTGACTCAGCGGAGGTCAAAGGGAGTAACTAAATTTAGACAACATTCCTTCAGCATTGTCTGTTCTGCCAAGTTTCCAGTAAATGTTTGTTGGCTTTAAGCTGTTGATTTTATTTAATAGATGAGTAGAAAATAGTTTTTTCTGCTGATAAATTTTTACAGCATTTGTTTTGGAAAATTAGTAATTACTGGCGTATTCCCTACCAGGCACTGTTGAGTGCTGCAGAGCCTTGGCTCCTTTTGGCGCTGCGTGGCTGACAGACGGGCCCTGCTCACTCAGCAGCAAGGAACTAAGGCTGCCGCGCTTCATTTCCCCACAGGTGGCCGTTGCTCGCAGCCCTGTTCCTCAGCCTGCGGCACTGCTGTGGGGAACTCGTCCTTCCCTTTTTGCCGGGAGCAGAGCAAGCCGATGGCCCGGTCACCTTTTACCACTACACCTGTGTCCACTTGTGTGCCTTCATCACCTCACTCCCTGAGTCGCACTTCCATCTCCTGGTAAGACGGAGGTTTGCAAGTCGGGAGTAAGAGCTGACACGGAACAGCTGGTGGTGTTTGCAAGCTTTTAAACCAAACTGTCTGTGCGTGAGATACAGCCAGATTGTGCCTTACTAATGTATAGGAGGGAAATTTCGGTATTGATAAATAGCATAGACCACTAAAGAGCTGCAGCGCCAGTCCGTTTTCATTGGATTGTCGACAACGGTTTGGCTTTCCCAGGAAAGGGAAGTCCAGGCAGACCGTTTTGCACTTAAGGGGCTTCCTTACTCTTGGGGTTAAATACCCAGTGCGGCATAACTTGGAGGGGCTCTGAATGGAGTCAGGTGATCTTGCCCAGTTTTCCAGGCTGTATGGACTGGGTGAGCGCTCCTCACTGCCCAGATGGGATGCTTGGATGGATCTTGTGAGCCGAAGACCGAAGTGAACGGCTGCCGGTCAGCACGGCCGAGGACTGGTCCCTTCTGCCAAGCACCTGCCGGCGCCACTCCGATCGGTGTCCCACGCAAAAGCCTGGCTCGAGCCGAGCTGCGCCGAACCTTCCTGCCCCCGGGCATTTCACAGTGCCCTTGAAGCAGTGCTGCCCAGTGGCCGGCGGCTTGCTGCGCGTGGCCAGCCCTCTCGCCACCAGTTTCCGGGAGAGGGGTGTGGCTTCCGTGGGCAGCCGGCCTCCGGAATGCCGCTCCTTTGCCTCGCGGAGCTGAAAGTCTGTCTCTGCTCTCCAGCGATCGAAGGGAAGTTTTGTGTTCCTAAGCCACGCTTGGCTGGTGTGTGACTTGCTGCTTCCCCTCAGGAGCACTCCCTGCTGGAGATGGTGCTTGGTCCGAATGCGATGACGGCCCTCTTGGCCATGGATACCTGGTGCTTCCTCGCCCGGTAAGACGACGCTGTGCAGGAGGGTGGACAGCCATAGGCGGGGCTGAGCTGCCGCTCCCTCGGCAAGTGCCTCTGTCTGAGTGCTTCTTCATTACTTTTGGAAACCAGCCTTTCTTCATGAAGGGCTGAGCCCTTCTTCACGAAGGGCATGCCGTCGTTCCAGCTTCTCCCTTTTGATAAACGTGTTAGCTGAGAGATGGCAGCTGTGAACTAATGGGCGTCAAGACTGAACAGGGACTTGAACCCGGGTCTTCCCAGTTCAAGAATAACACCCGCTGGCCGAGTTGGAGGGGGCTTGCTTGCTGAGCAGCTCTTCTTGTCATCTCCCAGGTACGGAACAGCAGACCTGTGCGCTCATCATGCATTTATAGTGGCATCTTTGGTAAGCGCAGCATGCTCCTGCTTGTGACCAGATACGCGCTGGGGCAGAGCAGAATAGACCTGGCCTGTTGTCGTGGCTAGTCGCGAAGTCGCGACCCCGTGGACAACACTCCTCCAGGCCTTCTGTCCTCCACCATCCCCGGAGTCCACCCAAGCTCCTGCCGACTGCCTCAGTGACTCCCTCCAGCCACCTCATTCAGCACCACGTAAAGCCTGGGCACCCCCACATTTAGCCCTAAGGAGTGGAAACCTTGGGAAAAGTTCTTGTGTGAAAATGGGAAACGCTAGTCTTTGTCTCGGTTCCTTGACGTGCTTTCACGTTAAGTGCAAGTGACATGTGCTGTAATTAAAGAGGAGGAATGGACCGAATGCCATGAAGCGCGCAGCTGGCAAAAGAGGCTCTGCTGGGTGCGGGCTCCCGCAGGGGCACGCGCACCCTGGGGCTGCGGCGCCCGCCTGGCTGACCTGCCCGCTCTTTCTCGAGGGGAACCCTGGTCCCAGCGGGGGAGCGGCAGCAGACGCCGCCTCCTGGATGGAAGTCGCTGGACTGTTCTGTGAAACAGTTGCATTTGATTGCCAGGGACGGTTCTCTTTCTGTCGGCTCATGTGTTTAAGCCATCTGCATGAGTTCAGTAAGCTGCTCCTCGCCTTCTCATGGCACCCCAGTGCAGGATTTTGCGGGGTCCTCTGCTTGGGGAGGTGGCCTGTGGCACGCGGCGCCTGGGAGTGGTCTGTGTGAGAGGGGGCGACTGGCCCAGACAGTGCTCGGGTGCGTGCACGCCTCCGTCGGTGCACTGGGAAAGGGATCGTGTCAAGGTTGGGACTGTGAGCTCGGGCTTGCTGCCAGGGGGGCATCGCCAGTGTAGCCGGCTAATGGCTTCTTGTCCCGGTCCAGCTGAAAGCTTGTCCTGCCGAGCACCACCAAGTCTCTGTCCTGGGTGTCCTGCTGAGGCGGCTGCTCTTCCTGATGGCTGCAGAGCATCAGGCAAGTCTTGCTCTTGCACCCCCCCCCCCCCCCCGCACATGCCCAGCTCGGTTTGAATGGCCGAGGGCGTTCTGGCCGGGGAGGATGAGTGTGGACGTGTGAGACGAGGCAGCAAGAGCGCCCCTGTTGCTGTTGGCTGTTTTGGGCTGGTCCAGTGCCGGTGCTCCACTGGTATCCGTGTTTTTGAGATTTTCACAGAATCCTCTCGTGTCCCCTCTCCCATTGTCACCTCCTTTGCAGGCGGCATTTACCCAAAACTTCTCCCCCAAAGACGCTGAGAATCTGCCGCTGTGGCAGCATCTTTCTCTCTTGGCGCTGGTACCCGTGCTGAGACAGCAAGTCGCTCACGAGCTCTTTGCGGCTGGACTTGGGCAGTGTCAGGAGTGGCTGAGCAGTGAAAGGTTGACGGAAGAACTTCCCCGAGTGGTAAGTGAAGACTTGAATGACTGGACTTCCCTCGCAAAGTAAAAACTCTTTACTTGTAAAGAGTCTCCTTTCCTCCTTGGCTCTCGTGCTCTTCTGTTCGGAAATCCCTGCAAGAGCTCAGCTTTCTGGATTTTTGTTCTATCGAGATGAGATGTCCTGTACTCCTTGTTGAAGTGCTGACTGGTTTCACAGAGACCGGGCGCTTGCCTTGTGGCTTTCCGTGGCATTGCTAGGAGCAGCAGAGTGTGAGGGCCTGAGAGTCAGAACTGCTTTAAGGAGGAAGCGGGCCCCCCTGACCTCTCTCCCTCGCTCCTGATGGGGGCTCAAGTACTCATGAGACCAGTTCTGGCAACGGTTTGCGATTCGGTTAGTCCTTCCAGGGATCAAAAGGTGCGACCGGAAGGAAGCGTAGTTGATTTGCTTTCATTGTTCCAGCGGAAAAACTTACCTGGTTTCTGCATATTTGCCTGGCCTTTGGGGCACCCAACTCGCAGAACCTGGCCTGTTCAGACGCACGCCTTGGCCGGGTCTGTGCGCTCGCGCGCAGCGTAGCCGGTGTCCCTAACCCCTCACAATGTCCCCTGTGCTGCCAGAACGCTGCCCTCGCGGCCTTGCTGTCGGCGTGCCAGACCGCTGGAGAGGCGCTGGAGGAGGGACAGCGAGCCACACTGGTCGACACCCTTCGCCAGCTCCTGGGAGCCTTGCCGCCTGCTCAGGTGAGGGCGCCCTCTCTTCCCCTCCGTGCTGTTCTCTCATCTTGCCCTCCGTTCCCCACAAGAGGCAGGATATATCTGGGGGGGGGGGTGTGTCTGGGGGCGTCTGTCTTTACTTGTGGGAGGCGGGGAGAGGAGGAGTGGTAGCTCTTGCGGGTGTCTTTGGCTGCGGTGGCCGGAGCAAGCCACCACCTGAGCGGCAGAATTTACTCTCTCAGACGGGGCCCCCAGCCTCTCGGGGCTCTTGGGAGCACCTGGGATTTTAAAATGCTGTGCTGGCTCTGTGGGGGAGAGCAGCCCCCCCCACTCTTGTGTGTGTCTGCGTGCGCGCACACGCAGACACGCACATTGCGCACTTGCTGGTTTTGGCACACGCTGCCTTCTCTCTCTCTCGTCTTTCCCCCTCTGGCCGCTCGCCTTTCTTATTCTCCCCTTGCGCAAGTGAGTGGGGGGCCGCGGGGGGGAGAAGCGCGACGGTGGGGGCGGGAGGGCTGCTGCCGTCACAGTCGCCCTCGGCTAACCATCGCGTGCGAACCAGTCGGTGCCGAGCCTCATGGACCCGCACAGGCATGGGGGAGCCTCTCCCGGCAAGTGGAGCTGGCTCGGATTTGGCGATTAGGGTGATCCAAGGCCAGCCCTGATGTCGGCAGTTCCGGGAGCTGCTTTGCTGAGTTAAGCAGGAGCGTGGCTGCTGCGAGGCCCTAGCAGGCGCTCTTTGTCCGGTGCAGGTCTCCAGCTTGCCCTGCCTGCAGCAGGCCTTTTGTGGGACGCTCTGCCTTCTGCAGCTCTTCATCCAGATGTTAGAGCCACAGCTGCTGATTCAGGTAAGCAGCTGCGTGATGCGCGTGAAGCAGGTCACTCCTCAAGCCAGTTTCTGCTGCATATGGCAGAAGCGTTGCCCCGTCATGCTGCTGTCACGGAGGGAGCCTTCACCCTACTGGATGAGAGTGTTGTTTGCGTTCATAATTTCTGTTCTCTCGCTCCCTTATAATCTCTGGTCCTCAATATGCAGCGTCAGAATTCGAGTTTCTGTACTTCATAAGATTGCTGGGTAGTGACCTTGTAGCTGCAGTTTGCACCTTCTGCCACATGAACCTGGGATGGCCGGAGGGAGGAATCCTTTTGCCTTGGGAAAAGGCTTTTTCCTACAGAATTTCCTGCTTGCACAAAGGAATTGTTTCGCAGGAGCAGTGTGCACCTTCTCTTGAATCCTGGTCTCTTAATGGACCATCCTGCACATGCTCAGTGGAACAAACTGCTTTAGTGATGCGTGTTGACTGAGGCTTCGGGGATCCACGTTGAGTCCCCACTCGGCCACGAGGCACGCTGGGCGACTGGGCCAGGTGCTCCCTCTCAGCCTCACCTCCCTCACCGGGCTGTCATGCCGAGGAGGACTTTGCTCGCTGCCTTGGGTTCCTTGCAAGAGGAGTATATCTAACTGCCGGGTGTAGACGCAGTGCAGGAATGGTCATGATGTTCAGTCTGTTCATTTTTACTTCCCGTAGATCCTCGCACTGCAAGTGTCGCTGCTCCAGCTGAATCCCCCAGACCACCTTCTCATGGCCACCCTAGACTTTCTCTCTTCAATGGGGAAAGCCATCATTCCACCAAATTTCCAGGTAAATGCCCTGGATCATTGTTTCCTCCCATTGGTACCCTTGACCGGTGGATATGAGGAGTCGGGGACTCAAGTAGCGAGATTATTTTTCAGTCGTGGGTGCTCTGGGTTAATCCAGAGTACTTGAACCATGCAAATTCGAGTTCCCAAGACTTCTCAAGTTCCCATGGTAGCCCCGGGACCCCGCAGTATGTCCATTGAGGTCACTCTGTCCCTGGACTTGCCACTGAGGTTATTGTAAGTCAAGTCGTTTCTAGAATTTAGTCTCCTCTCGAACATTGTGGGTTAGCCTAATGTAGGCATTTCAACGGTGTGGCTGCTGCATTGCAGACATGTTTGTTGTTTTATTCTGGACAGCGAGAAACCCAGACTGCTTTTGTTTTTTGTTTGCTCAGGCAGTGCGCGCCACGGACTTCCTGCGGGTGTAATTCAGGGAGCTTTGGCTAGGCTGCCTGTCTAGTTATTATAGGAAACGCATCAATAAGAGAAATGGGGACGCATTGACTCGAAATACAAATGATAATCCAGTAATTCGTTGGTTAGGAACAGGTTCTGCCCAAGCTGTCCTGCTTGTTCTCCTCTTTGTTGGCCAGTGGCAGCTGGCTGATTCAACAGCATGCCGTGGAAGCGTTCACTCAGTTTGCAGAGGTAAGGAAAGTCCCACCCGGTGCTTTTCACTCTTGGAAAACGGAGGCTTAGTCCTGCAAAGTCCACACTTAACTCTCTCATTGGACTGAAAAGGTCGCAAGCTGGCCAAGTTGTTTGCAGGTGGCTCATAAATGCGCAGCCACAGTAGCCCTGGAGCCGGAGAGCAAGATGGACCTTCCCCACAGCAACGCTTTGCAGGAGGCTCGCTGGGGAAGGGACCCGCGGTGGGGACTTGGCGGCAGTGAAAGGACCAGGCCTCGCTCCTGAAGGAGCTGGGCTGCAGGGGCACATCCCTTCCCTCAAGGCCTCGTTTAAGCTGCAGCTGCACCAAGCAGCAGCAGCAAGAGCAGGCATCTTTGCTGCTCCTCCTCACGTTGGCCAAGCTAAAATGTCATGCAGGGACAGGAAGCCGATTTGTGCGGGGCAGATGCCTCCTGCAGACTGGACAAGATCGGGGCGCAGCTCCAGGGGCCTCCCGGTTCAGGGTTCCCCGACAGGATGTGCTGGCTGGGCTGCTTGACTCGGGAAGGCGCAGGAGGCTTCGGCCCCAGCTGAGGCCACTCATGCGCTTTCAAAATAAGGCCCACGTGTGCCGAGTTTGCAGTCATTTCATAGCCATTGTTGGATTTCCCTGGATTCTTGCTCCTGCAGGAGTGACTGCTTAGCCCAGTTGGATTCTGTTTGAACTTCCCTCCCATTTTTCAATCAAGGGAACCAGCCACGAAAACCTGCTTCCCCAGTGTCTGAACAATGAAGAAATAAAAAGCACGGTGGTTCGCTTCCTGTCAAAGGTATTTTTACATTAAATTGATGCTCTGCTGCTGACAACAGCTTTCCTTTTTGAAATTAATGTCTTCCAAATAAGCATGCATGCTCTCTCTTTGCTATAATCAAGACATACGGGATGTTGGAGCCATTAATGAAAGAGTTCTGCTCAGAGAGATGCTCCCACTGATGGATTTCCGTCTAAAATGCATGGCAGCCAATTCAGCAGGTCCCCGAAACTTTTGCATGCCCATTTTTAGGGGACTGCAAGGATGCTGTGGGGAGGAGCGGAGTCAACTTCTGCCGGCCCAGTTCTGTGCGCCCAAAACTAGATTGCAAGGCAGCTAAGTCAAAATTAATAAAATCAGAGTTATCGGGGCTGCATTGGCACACAGCTTAATTCAGAGCCTCTTAGACTTTTAACCCCAGGAGCTAATGCCGGCCCCTCTCTCCTTAAGCCTCCTTCCTGGTCCTGCAGGTGATCCTACAGGTCGGATGAGCACTTCACCTGGGGCAAACTGAGCCAACTTCTGCAAAGGCAACAGGGATTTGCCACATAGCCGCTTGCTTACTCCTGTGCCCGTTTGCTTCGCTTTTCTCTCAGGACTACCACATAGACGAGACAGCAGAAGCCAGAGCAGAACGCATGAAAGATGAAGATGCTCTGCTTAGGTGCCGCTTACAGGAAGTGTCAGCAGACAGACAAAGGGCCCTGATCTTACAGGTATGTTGCAGTCTTGTGGGAGACCTTTAATGCAGCAGGTGATCGCCACCTGCATATTAACTTGGGTTTTTACAGAGTTGCACAGAAAATTTAGGGCTAATTTGTAGCACACATTTGTAGCAACCTAAATAAATGGAAGTAGTATGTGAAGTGAGTGGTCACAGCTGTAGTCAACACCCATGGCAACTGAACATGCAAGCGCCCAGCCGAGTTGCATCTTCTGACAGAAATACTGGACGCAGTTATAGTATTCTAACCTTTTCAGTAATGTCGAATTCTGTGTGAACTCCTGCTAGCCTGAAAAGTCTTGCCCTGTCACAAGGGAGACGGCATCAGCCTGGCATTTGTCCAGCGAGAAAGGAGTTCTCGCCTGCCCTTCTAATTGAGGAGGTGGCGGTACTGGGTGAAGAAAGCCTGCACACGTTGTTTATTTTTACCTTTCAGCACAGCATCTTCAGCCAGTTTAAAGCCAGGTGTTTGAAGTAATGTGTGGTGTGGAGAAAGTGGACCAGGAGTTGTTTTGCTCCCTGTCCCGTAACGCTGGGGCCCGGGGCCATCCCGTGAAGCCGACTGGTGGGAGCTTTAGGACAGATCAAAGGAAGTCCTCCTCCACGCAGTGTGTGGCTGCGCTGTGGCTTCCCTGCCATGGGAAGTGCTGGTGGCCACTGACCTGGACGGCTTTAAAAGCAGGCCGGAGAGATTCACGAGCCAGGCGGCTGTCGGTGGCTACTGGCCTTGCTGACCACGGGCTCCCTCCTGGGCCAGAGGTGGCGTGTGCCTGCTGCACAGCGCTCGCGGAGACGGTTGGCGGTCCTGCGCCCATCCTGCTGGCGGGGGCCTGTGGGCAGCTGGTTTGCCACCCCATGGGAGTGCTGGGCTGGATGGGCTTTTGGGCTAATCCAGCGTGGCTTCTCCTAGATCGTTGTATTCAGATCCGATTCTTGCAAAACCTTTTGACCATGGCAGTTCCTTGGGAAAAGGCCTTTGCACGGAAGGGACTACAGAATCTCAGCTTCACACTAGCCAGCCGAGTTGTTTGCGGGCCACTTTAAAACGGCAACAGCTGTTTTGAGACGCCTTTCAAGACTACTGAGTAACAGCCTCTTCCCAGATACTGACTTTGTGACTAGATCACTACTGTTACTGTCAAGTGGCCCATGCTGGATCATTGTAAGAAATGGTTTTGTTTGCCTAAGAAATCAGCAGGAGGCCAGAAGCAGTCTTCTAGTAGTCTGACCAAACAGTAGCAAGTCAGGACATCTTAAATCCTGTTTGTAAGAAACTCCATTTAAGCAACTCTGGGCGGCCCCACTGCCTGTACAGCAGGGATTTAGCCAGGATAGGAGCCGAAAAGGAGCCAAGAATCCGCTGGCCTGCCTCTTCTAGGGCTGGGACACAGGCTTGTGCGGTGCACCCGGTGGAGTGCCCTGCCTCCCGGGAGATTAGCGCCTGCGCACTTAGCGCCTGCGCATCAGAGCAGCTTCCTCTGTGCAGCCCTGCTGGGCCTGGCGGCGGCGGCATGACATCACTCGCCTTTGCTAACCTCTCTCTGCTTCAGAGCTTCACATGTCTTGTTGCTGCTGTTTCCGATCTGCAGCCCTCCCCCGAAAGAGCCCACTCCTCCTCTCCCCGCGAGGCCGAATACAAGTCTGCCGTGGACACTGCCGAGGAGATGCTGGAGCTCATGAAGCAGCTGCTGCAGAAGGGCCCCCCGCCCCCCTGGCTCGCCCGGAAGCTGGCGGCGATGCAGAGCACGCTGGACACCTTGAGGAGCCGTGTGTGCTGACCGGGCCGCGTCCTCTCCCCCTGCAGACGGCCAGGGCAGCTCTCCCCAGGCCCCACTGCCAGAAGCCAGAGCAGCAACCCGGCTGGCCGGTGGTGGTCCGGAGTCTAGTTACTGTGTTGTATGTTCATGGTATTTATTTATGCAAGGTTTTGTGGGCTTGCTGAACCAGAAAGTAAAGGCAGAAAATCATCATTTACCATAAGCAAGTGAACAAGGACTAAGCATAAATGCCCATGTGTACTGTTCTCTTGTCCACAACTGCTTACATTATACCTACAGCTTTGTAAACACATCCCAAAATCTTGCGTGTTCACTGGTGGAATCAGAACCATGCAGTGGCCCGGTTCTCAGAAAAATAGTGTACACAGACATTGGGTTAGTGGATTATCCATTTATTTTCCCTAGAATTCCACAAACAATAATAATTGTGGAAAAATAAAATCACGCATCTGCAGTATCTTCATCCAGTGACGCCTGCCTCTTCAGCACGTGGGGCAGGAGGCCCTCCCTAGGTTTAGTATCTGCATTGCAAGAAAGAAAGGCAAGCACCTGTGCAGGCTGCAAAAACAGCGAATTCGTGCGTGCTTGCGCAGTGGGCCTTGGAGAGACTTCGCCCGCAGAGCCCATGGCCGGCCGCCTCACCAGTTGGTGCCATCTTCCCAATGCAGGTCCTCCTCTTCTTCCCAGCCAACAACGTCCACCTAGAATTAACGGTAAAAGCATTAACCATGCCAGCAAAATCAGTAATGATCTAGCAGCCGCGCTGCATTGGTGGGGGAACCGCAGCTCAGTCTTCCTGCCATGGCCCTGAGGCAGCCACAGATGGGTCAAAGTGGTTGCCCTCAGAAGCTATTTTCGTGGAACCATTTTTTGATGCAAAAAATAATACAAAATAAAAGTATACTTTTCTTACATAAGATCTGAATCTATTGACTATTCAATGCACTCTCTTCCTATTTATTTATTAGATTTATATCCCACAATTTTCTTTTTTTAAGGACTCGAGGCAGCTCACATCATTCTCTGCCTGTTCGCAATCTTGCCCCCCAACAACCCGGTGGGGTAGGCTGGGCTGAGGCTCCATGCCTGGCCCAGCATCACTCAGCTGGCTCCATAGCTGAGTGGGGACAAGAACCCAGCTCCCCTGAGTCCCAGACCCATGCGCTTACCCACGGCACCACACTGGCTCTCCAATGTGACAAGATGCCCTCCTGTCCCTAGGCATAATTGCGCAGACTTCAAGGACGGGGGGCCAGACAGCCGCGCGTTGGTCCCTAGCTCACAAGGGCCACCCCAGTCAAGATGAAAAGCTCCAGCGAGCCCTCAGTCCAGCGCCTTGCCCAGGCTGGCCCCCTTGCTCTTCTAGCTGGGCCGCACAGTCGCTGCAGTGTTGCTCACAGACACCATGCTCCCTTCCCTTTTGAGGCATCGTCATGAGAAACAACTCGACCTCTTTCACAGTATAGTTCTAATAAAAATACTAAATTGCCGGTAAGGTAGCCAGCACGTTGGATGAACGGTGGGAGGTCTGGGACATGCCGCCACGCCTGCAGTGCAGGCACCGGTTCACGCCTAGAGCGCTCTGGCTTTTGTGCCCTCGCACACGCGAAAGCAGGCCCACATGGTGACCCCCTTTTCCAACTTAACCTTTTGATGAAACATTAAAGCCTGGCAAGAGCACTCTGCTGTCGCGCAGGAACCAGAGCTGCAGCGGACAAAATCTCTCACTGCCTCATCGAAACGCAGGTTGTACACGAACAGCTTCATGTCTTAGCTTCTCTCCATCCCAAGAGTCCGAATACTCACCCCTGTAACTTCAGCAGCTGCAAATTTAGAAGAAAACTGCATCTCCTGAGCACTGTGTGCAGCGCCGGAAGCTGGGTCTAAGGTACTATGATTGACAGGATGGGACCCCAGCTCTGGCAGAATCAAAAGAGTGGATGGTTTGATCTCGGGGACCATGTCGGCAAACCAGTCCAGCTCCGTATCTTCCGACTCCTTCCTCTTCACCTGGATCATGAATTCCTCTCCCAACCCACATTCCAACTTGGGAGACCTTTCTAGAAACGATGCTTTGGGGACACAGAGTTCACCTTGCCGGCCTCTCGGGTCAACCCCATTGCTGCTGCTGCTGCTGCTGCTGGGCACTGGAGAGGCATTGCATGGGAGAGTCCTAAATTCTTCCTTGAGTTCAAACTTATTTGGAGGCAGCTGTAGCTCTATAAAGTCATTCAGCCCCATCGCTCGGGGGCTGCTTCCCGAAGAGGGTTCAGAGTGGGCGTCAAGAGCCGCGTTCGCCCAGGGCTTCGCATCCACAGCCAGACTGGCAAAACGGGGGCTGCTGCTGTCGCAACGTTCACTCCGTGCGATACCTACAGCTGCGTTCTTCTCGTTCTCCGGCTCTTCGCACTCACTCCAGTCGGGCCATTCCTCTGCCGTCTGCTCAGCTGCACGCGGGCCCCTTCCGCCGTTCCTCGCGGCAGTTAACCTATCAGGAACACCGTATAAATGCACAGAGTCTTGCTCCCCTGTGGAAGACAAAGCACACACGCCTGCTTTGACCAAGGATGCCTTCCCGTGTCTCACAACCCGAATTACAGAAAAAGAAATGACATCCCCTCCACCCCAACACACGCACACACACGCATGCACGCTTCTCTTAGGAATCGACAGCTGAATGCCAAGGTGAATTGCCCACTGGATCAAAACATTTATCTGGCCTGCTATTCGGCCTGCTGCTTTAAGCCTCTGCTAGCCAGTTTGAAGGAAACCATGTTCAAGGAGATGAAGAGGCTAGTTTGCAGCTTCAAGCGGCCAAGTTGAGATAGGTGCTGAGCCAGCAGATGTAGCAAAAAACCTCCGGGCGTTGTTTGAAGCAAGGGCTGTTCTACGGAAAAAAACAAGAACAGAAACAGATCAGAGTTACCTTTTCTTAAGGCAATGTGAGAATCTTGCCTCGGCACATGAGTTGTGTTGGTGAAGGTCAAATTGCCCGAGTTGGGGCACTTCAGGAACACGCTTGAGTTACTTTGCAAGGGCTGGTAAATTAGATTTCTCTGGCAGCTTGGTACATGACTGGGAGAATCTGCAAGGACACGAGCAACAAGCATTTGACGGAAGTAACACGATTCACAAACAGCATTGTGCAGTAGGGAATGCATAGGAAATAATTACTTAAATCTTTGCACCAAACTGGGTGGGCAGTTTCAGGACCGCTGGGAGAGGCTGCCACCCCGGGTGGGAGAGACCTTGCAGGCCATCCTGACGGCCTCGCCTGAGCCATCAGCGCGGAGGGGCAGCACCTGGCCCGGGCCTTCCAGCAGCCTCCCGGGGCATGGAAGCACGCCGGCTGCGAGGCGCGGCACCCAAGGGAGCTATTCGCTCCAGGTGTGCTCTTACAGGGCTGTTCTTCACTGTATGTTTTCGCCGTTTAAATGGTTAATGGTTCTTTGATACAGTTTTGTGGTATTTTTATTGTATTTCACTGCTGTGAATCTCTCAGACAGCTTGCACTATGGTACAATATAGCAACGAAATACTAAAATATTCTTCAAAACCTGTTTTATTAATTTATGTCTGTGTAATCTTAATAAATTAAAACATGGTAACTGAACTATGTTTTTCTGAGTAGAAACCTTGATCTAGTAGCCTTGAAATTTCTGGGCCCTGAACAGAGGGCCTTTGTCACACTTTACTGAGGCCAGCCTCCCCGAATATATGTATTGCTGAGTGGAATTTGTCATTTTTAGTGCCCAAAGTACACTTGGATTGTTCTGACTTAATTTTCCAGGTACGGGGTGCTTGGGGAGGGACAGCCCAGGGAGGGCAGGTGCTCCTGGCACATCAAACATCCTCTAAATAATCATGTACAAGCATCCCAGGATCCGCAGTTCAATTTCCATCCTTGAAGTGGAAGATGTCTGCAGATACACACACACATGTAAACCAGGGAACGTTTCCAGCATCAGAGAAGAGTCAGTAGCAAGGCCAATTCTGTGCTGGCTCAGCAAGCGCCCAGACAATAAGCTTTGTACTAAATCACAGTGAAAAGGAACTTAGAGGGAAGCTACACAAAGCACTCCCAAGTGATATTCTATAATGTAAATATTTCCTTAGTTGAGAACTGATAGTTCAAACCAACACACACCCAAATGAGACACTCATTGAACACAGCTGGCGCACACCTCCTCTCAGCAGAATCCCCACGGAGTGACTGTTACCCTGCAGCTTCCTTCTCTAGATAATTACCACAGCATTCAGAATGGAGAGCATGCTGCCTCGGCTGGAATCACGGCTCCAGATTAATGCAATGTTTCCATGCATTTCGCATGCAGGAGAACAGGGGCTGCCGTATACTTACCTTCCGGGGACAGGTCCGCTGTTTTAGTGAAACTTGGTGCCGAACTTTTGAAGATCTTTGTTCTGTCGCCTCCCACAACAACATCAGGCCCCAAGAGAGAGACCAGCACGCCTAAGCTCTGCAGGGTTACGGCCACCAAAGAGTCACTGGTGTCTCGCAGCCCCAGTAAAACCTAAAATAAGGACAAGCCGTCAACTGTTATCTTGTTTCTCACATTCAGCTGAGAAACCACATTTGCAGGTTGCCAGAGTGCCTTCTTGAGAATCCCACCATTTGGGAAAAGCCCTTCTAGCAGGGCACAACTCACTGATCCAGTGTGTTTTAAGCAAAATCCATCATCCCTGAAAAAAAAAAAAAAAAGGGTAGCAATTTGGACATTGCTCCTCATCTGCTCAGGGTGGATTCAGAAAAATGTGGGGAACAGCAATCTGAAAGGCATTTCTCTGCATACATGTATGTGCACATGTGTGTCCACAAGCCAGCAGAGCGAGAAAGGGGAAAGTGTGGCAGGACTGAGAAAGCAGGACAGAACCTGGCAGAATTAACTTTCTGTACAGAAATGGAAAAAAAGAAAAAGCGATGTCAGAAACAGACAGCCTCTGTCGTCTTAAGCGACGCCTCCTGGATATGCCACTCCCACTTTCTTGTCTGCCGTACGTACCTGTGGCAAAATGATGTTTTTCAACTCCTTCTGAGTGAACAGCTCTGCATAGGCATCCAGGTGCGAGAGCAGCACCATCCGGACGTGTTCTTCGTGTACCTCAAACAGCTTCAGCAGCACGGGGCTGATGTGTGCTTGGAACACGGCCGGAGACAGCAGGCCCCTGACCTGGCCTTCCCCCACTTTATCTGGGGAAGAGTTAACAGTTGAAGAGTTAACAGGGTGCCAACGGAAACAAGCAGTTCAAAAGCCTCAGCACAGACGTTTGCATTCCTGTGTCCTAGTGACAAAGACGTCAATATTAAGTTTTGCTACGTGGGTTTAGTGGTGCTGGAAGTAATCCCTTCAAGCCACACAAGTCCTCTGAAGCAGGGCCCAAGACACCGCCACACGAACGCTCCGGGCAGGTCTATCGTGTGGGAAGTGATTCCACAAGGGCAGCCATTACTCGTGTCCCTGAATCAAGACCCAGCCTCAATCCATGCACCCCGGGGCGCCCACTGCTTTTCTGTGTTTATTCCAAAGAGAAAATAATCAAAGTCTACCTTTCCTTGGGCCCAGGAGATGAGGAAGGAAACTCTTCACAGCTACTGGCTCAGCAAATACAAACTGATTGAGCAAGAGGGGTACCAAACGCAAAGCGATCAGTTTCTCTGACAAGCCAGCCACTCTGTCCAGCAGGAACCTGTGTTGGAGAGAAATTGCTCAACTTTCCCTGTCACTGGAAAAGTTTTACATCTTATATTGTCCTCCTCCTCCCCTCACTTCACACTTCAGGCTCTCTGGGTACAGGAACAAATTCTCGCGATGTGCAGCATCGATCGCACGGGGGACCAGCGCAGCAGGGCTATGACGGGACACCCGATTCTCCTTCAGGAGCGGACATCATTCTGGTGTTGGTTGTGACAGGTGACCCTCCTGGAGTGAGAGGTTTATAGCTGGCATTTACCAGTTTGCCACCTCTCGAGGAATTTCTTTCTGTTACCCTCAAGTACACATAGGTAGCTTGTTTGATGTTGGGAAATTTTTCGAGTAAAATGTGACAATTTAACTGAAGCCATACCAAATAGGCAATTGCATATTTAGTATTTTAAACCAGCAGTAGTTGCTTCATAAAATTAAAGTCAAGGTCAACCAAAACAAGGAGGAAAGCAAAACAAAGGAGATAAAATGTTGCCCTTCGGATGCTTAACTTTATATGTTACTTTCGCACCTTAATTATAATACACAGGCTGTACAGTTTTATCTATGTATTTACAAAAACCCAGCTGGGGGATTATTCCTTTCCTTGATTTTCCAGGGATTTTTGCTTTTTTTTTTTTACCTCAGCCATAGCCTCCAACCACTATAAAACCTCTAACCTGTAATGTGGGTGGGGGCGGGTGAATACACAAAGCTCACTCAAGTCCCATTGATTTCAATGTGCCTCCTCCAAGTCTGACTACACCTGCATTCTACCCGATGACTGCCAACTCCATCTTTTAAAAGTTATTATTTTCTTTAAAAAGACCCATTTCAAATGGCCAACATTTTTACTTACTTAAAAAATTCTGTTTTTTCCTCCTCTGTTTTCAATGTTAGGCTGTTCAGAAAGCTCACAACTTCCAGGAAATCATTTCTGAAATTGTTTTTGAAAGGTCATTTCTGAATAAGAATTTAGCCGAAAAAAGCAACCTCAAGCAGATTAATATTTGCTGAAACTAGCTGTGCTGGAACATGATGTTTCTGGCATGTGTCACGTGACTGCTGGGTGTCAAGATTGTCAGTAAATATAAACCTGGCACACCAAGATGCCTCAAAGCGTAACACAAAACTAAGTGAAAGAAGCAGCACTGGCCACTTTACTGCCTAGTACTTACTCAAAAAGGCTAAAAAGTTCATTTAATCTACGAAATACTCCTGTTATAGAAATCTACAAGTGTAATGCTCCTTTCATCCACACTTCGAATCTGGTAATGACTCCTGAATTTCACTCTTGGGTTTGCTCTAGGAAGTCTGCTCACCTGAAGTCAACACATCTGCTCACCTGAAGAATTCATGGGACAGTAGACTAGACAGGCGGCAACGGCATTTTGGATCCGGATTTAGCGAAGTAGAGCGCAGGGTGTTCTGAAAGCTGGAGAGCACGTCCTCTGAAACTGAAACACACAGGTCAGCAGTCAAGCCTCTGGCTACTCAGGCAAGGGTGGGGTTTGCTATTCTGCTTGATATTGTCTGCCCTGCAGTGGCTGAAGGATGCAGGACCCAAGGCAAGGACCGGTTACAAGCACGGAGGTGGAAGCGCTGTACCAAGGAAGAACCTGCCACAGGAACAGGATCTGAGAACGTACTTAAGAATTGAGATTCCCTCTCCTTCAGGACTTAGGCCTACTTGATAATTCTGGGAAACTACACTTCTGGAAGAAAGCCATGACCCTATAAACATTTAGGAAGTTCAGGAAGCCCCACTGAACTCTTAATTCTAGGCAGACATTTATTGGATTGCACTGTAATCCATAATGCACGGTGGGGCAAAGTAGCAGCGATTACTTTGGTGAACTTCTGCAGATAACTAACAGCAGTGCATTGTGGATTATTTGTACTCCATACTGATGAACAGGTAAGGCAGGTTATTAACCACAAAATTGTCTACCAATTTAAAAACTGTCTCATTCACAGACGGCAGCGCTATTTGCATCAGTCCTTGGTGTAACCTAACCAATGAAGGACGTCCCAGTTGAGATCACTGCTTAGGTACCTCACAATCCCACACTTACATTAGCTGTTGCTCAGATGCACCATGGGAACATTTCTAATTGAGGAGTTTACTAAATCAAAGCACTTAATCCTTTGTTCTAAGAAGCAGGGGTCTGTACACGGCATAGTTGCAAAACATATTGTTTGGCCAAGAAACAAAAATCAATACTGCTTAAGAAACTGTTTCCTACACAGAGTAATTTGAACAATCCTTCAATTCACTAGTTCCTGAAATATCAAGGGGAAGACAGCGGGTGATTCGGTTCCCCTGGAGCAAACATTCCAAGAGCCTCCACCAAAAGCGGCTTCCGAGAATGCAAGAGCGGCAGTGCTGGATCGGGCCGAAGGGCACGTCATTCAGCAGGCCTGCCCCTACCATGGCCGGCCACGCCTGAGCGGCATCCCCTCACTCACATGCTCCAGCGACTGGTTCTCTGAGGCGTTCTGCCTCTGCCTCTGCAGGCAGGATGTGGCCACCGTGACCGGCAGCGCTCGCCTTCTCCTTCTCCTAATTCCTTGCTAAAGTCACCCAAATTCAGCAGCCATCGCCGCACCTTGCAGTACTGACTTCCTCGATACAGCTGTGAGCTGCTCCTCCTCCTCTCTGGCTTCAATCTTCTATTCTTCAGCCACAAAACAAACTTGGCATTATTCTCCGTATGGTAACATCCTTACCTTCCTCGTTTAAAAAAGCCAACAGATATTCCACCATTACACCAAATGCGTAGGCATCCCGGCAATGTCCCTGGCCCTCAGGAAGCATCCGGAAGTCTGCAGACTAGAGGAACAGAAAGAAGGTCCTAGCAGTCGCTGCATCCCAACTGGGTGGGACATAATCCAGACAAGACACAGGTCTTGTTGGCTGGGGCTCTGCGAATATGGGTGGAGCCTGACTTCCTCGGAAGGCAGCTCGGCTGTTTCTGGGCTGCTGCGGTCGCCAGACAATCGAACGGCAAGAGTGGCAACTACTTCCTCAAACGCAGCCTTTCCTGGAGATGATCTTGGCCGTTTGTCCAGCCTGGATGACCGCAATGTGCTCAACCGGGGCTGACAGGGAGATTCCAAGTGGCCCAAACTGGCTTTCAGGGCCTTGCTCTCCTCAAAAATCAGATCATGGGCACCAACCGCTCCATGGGTTCTTTCTTTTTTCCAGCCTTAATGCAAAGTGTTGGTGATAACTTTTAAAGCCCTGTAGTTGTGTAGCTCAAGTTGTGACAACCTGGGTTCAGGCTAGATACCAGGAAAAGTTTCCTCACTGTCAGAGCGACCTGACGGGGGAACCAGTATCCCGAAGAGGTCACACTAGAGGCCTTCAAGCAGCAGCTGGACAGCCGTCTTAGTGGGATGGTGTAAACGGGTGTCCTGCACCAGCAGGCGGTTGGACCCGATGGCCTTCTTGGCCCCTTCCAGCTCTATACTTCTCTGAATCTAAACGGCATACATACTAGATATGCTGCAAAGCACCATCTCTCTCTGAAGACGCCCATGTCTTAAAATGAGCTTGAAAGCTCCAGCTCCGTGTCCTGCCTTCCTTAGAGATGTGTATCGGTATCCAGTGCGCACGTGGAATCCAGTGCTGGCGCAGCGGGAAGCTAGCCGATGTCTGGAGCTGGGCTGCTTGGGGACGCCACTTGGTTGCCAGAACCAGAACACCCACCTTGGTACTTGCAGGATCAGCCCCTGGCCCTGCTGGGACTCCCAGCCTCTGGGGGGGGTGGTGGCAAGCTCCTCTCTCCAGAAATGGCCTCAGCAACACAGAGGGTCCGGTTTGCTGCAGCGCCGACATCTGCCTGACCCAGTTCCTGCCTTGCCGCCTCACCTCAGCGAGGCAGCTTTTCCTGCTAAACCTTGCCTGGCCCTTGCCATGCATCCTGCCCAGTTTAAGGTACCTCCTCGCTTGCCTTTCTGGTTCTGGGCCCTTGGCAGGTTCATGAGCACACCTTGCTTCACCCTGATATGTCCTTCTAGTTCCTGACCCTGGCCTGCTCTGGGGCTACGACTTGGATTTTGCTACTCCACTTCACCACTGGACTCCAGACTCCGCCTTGCCCAGTCCCAGAGCCTCTGTCTTGTCCCCTGCTGCCCAAATCCTGGCTCCCTGACAGCAGCTCCTGGAGCAAACAGAAACAATCAAGAATGCTGAGCCGCCTCGTTCTCAGCGCTGAGCCGGCAGCAGGAGCGCCCATTCCTGCTTGCTCCTGGGGCTGCTGTAGGAAGCACCCCTTCCTGCGGCACCTGCAGTGGGTCCCACACTGGAAGCAACGGGAACACCGGGAGCGCGGCAGCAAGACTGGATGTGCCCTAAGAGACTGGGCCTTCCTAGGCAGATCGATCAGGCTTCCTCTCGTTCTACTTTGGGCCAAACACCTGAACACAGCTGCTGTCACGCAGGCCTGGAGTCCTTACTGGTGGCAGCGCTGGTGCCCCCTCCAGCTTGTGTAACCCAAGAATTTAAGACATTTGCACAGCTCAATAAAGGAAACAGAAGTAAACTTCACTGCTAATATGTGTTTATCCATTTTGAGAGGGATTGGGTTTCAAATTTTAAATCAGTAAGCAACTTGAACAATGAACAATTACTTTTACATTAATTAACTCTATTAAAATATGCCTGAGAAAGGCAAGCTGGGTGACTGATGCACCAATATTAAAACTAATATTTAAAATATTTACATACATAAAATTCAGAGAAATTATTTATGAGGGCTAAGTTTTAAGTTATTTCAAATTTCCTTACAGACAATTCCAATACAGAAATGCTACACAAAATCAGTTTCTAATGTAACTGTCCATGTTGTTGTTGTTAGATGCGAAGTTGTGTCCGACCCATTGCGACCCATGGACAACACTCCTCCAAGCCTTCTGTCCTCCACCATCCCCCGGAGTCCACCTAAGCTCACGCCGACTGCTTCAGTGACTCCATCCAGCCACCTCATCCTCTGCCGTCCCCTTCTTCTTTTGCCATCTATTGTTCCCAGCATTAGGCTCTTCTCCAGGGAGTCCTTCCTTCTCATTAGGTGGCCAAAGTATTTGCGTTTCATCTTCAGCATCTGGCCTTCTAAAGAGCAGTCAGGGCTGATCTCCTCTAGGACTGACCAGTTTGACCGCCTTGCAGTCCAAGGGACTTGCAGGAGTCTCCTCCAGCACCACAATTCAAAGGCCTCAATCCTTTGGCACTCAGCCTTCCTTATGGTCCAGCTTTCACAGCCATACATTGCAACTGGGAAAACCATAGCCTTGACTATACACACTTTTGATGGCAGGGTGGTGTCTTTGCTTTTTAGTATGCTGTCTAGATTTGCCATAGCTTTCCTCCCAAGGAGCAAGCGTCCTTTAATTGCTTGGCTGCAGTCCCTGTCTGCGATGATCATGGAGCCTAGGAAAATAAAATCTGTCACTACCTCCATTTCTTCCCCATCTATTTGCCAGGAAGTGAGAGGACCAGAAGCCATGATCTTATTTTCTTAATGTTGAGTTTCAAGCCAACTTTTGTGCTCTCCTCCTTCACCCACATCAAGAGGCTCTCTAGTTCCTCTTCACTTTCTGCCATTAGAGTGGTATCATCTGCATATCCGAGGTTGTTGATATTTCTCCTGGCAATCTTAATTCCAACTTGTGATTCATCTAGCCCTGCCTTTCTCATGATGTGCTCTGCCTATAAGTTAAACAGGCAAGGCGACAGTATACAGCCTTGCCGAACTCCTTTCTCAATTTTGAACCAATCGGTAGTTCCATGTCCAGTTCTCACTGTTGCTTCTTGGCCCACAAATAGGTTTCTCAAGAGGCAAATAAGATGGTCTGGTACTCCCATCTCTTTAAGAACTTGCCACAATTTGTTGTGATCCACACAGTCAAAGGCTTTAGCATAGTCAATGAAGCAGAAGTAGATGTTTTTCTGGAACTCCCTAGCTTTCTCCATGATCCAGCGTATGTTGGCAATTTGATCTCTAGTTCCCCTGCCTCTTAGAAATCCTGCCTGGACTTCTGGTAGTTCTCGGTCCACATACTGCTGAAGCCTAGCTTGTACGATTTTGAGCATAACTTTGCTAGCATGTGAAATGAGTGCAATGGTGCAGTAGTTTGAACACTCTCTGGCATTGCCCTTCTTTAGGATCAGAATGTAAACTGACCTTTTCCAATCCTGTGGCCACTGCTGAGTTTTCCAAATTTGCTGGCATATTGAGTGTAGCATTTTACTGCATCATCCTTTAGGATTTTGAATAGCTCAGCTGGAATACTGTCGCCTCCACTAGCTTTGTTGTTGCTCAGACTTCCTAAGGCCCATTTGACTTCACATTCCAGGATGTCTGGCTCGAGGTCAGTGACTACCCCATCGTGGTTACCAGGGACGTTAAGCTCTTTCTTGTATAGTTCTTCTGTGTAATCTTGCCACCTCTTCTTAATCTCTTCTGCCTCTGTTAGGTCCCTGCCATTTTGGTCCTTTGTCATGCCCATCTTTGCATGAAACATTCCCTTCATAGCTCCAATTTTCTTGAAAAGCTCTCTGGTTCTCCCTATTCTATTGTTTTCTTCTATTTCTTTGCACTGTTCATTTAAGACATTCTTGTCTCTTCTAGCTGTTCTCTGGAATTCTGCATTCATTTGGGTGTATCTTTCTCTTTCTCCCTTGCCTTTTGCTTCCCTTCTTTCCTCAGCTATTTGTAAAGCTTCCTCAGACAGCCATTTTGCTTTCTTGCATTTTTCTTTGGGATGGTTTTAGTTGCTACATCTTGTACAATGTTGCGAACCTCCGTCCATAGTTCTTCAGGCACTCTGTCTATCAGATCTAATTCCTTAAATCTATTTGTCTCCTCTACTGTATATTCATCAGGGATATGATTTAGGTCATACATGAGTGGCCTAGTGCATTTCCCTACTTCCTTCAATTTAAGCCTAAATTTTGCAACAAGAAGCTCATGATCTGAGCCACAGTCAACTCCTGGTCTAGTTTTTACTGACTGTTTAAAGCTTCTCCATCTTTGGCTGCAGAGCACATAGTCAATATGGTTTCTGTGTTGACCATCTGGTGATGTCCATGTGTAGAGTTGTCTCTTGGGTTGTTGAAAAAGAGTGTTTGCTATGACCGTCATATTCTCTTGACAAAATTCTACCAGCCTGTGCCCTGCTTCATTTTGTACCCCAAGGCCAAACTTGCCTGTTATTCCGGTTATCTTTTGGCTTCCTACTTCAGTATTTCAATCCATGATGATACGGACATCATTTTTGGTGTTATTTCTAGAAGGTGTTGTAGGCCTTCACAGAACCGGTTAACTTCAGCCTCTTCAGCACCAGTGGTTGGGGCATAGACTTGGACTACTGTGATGCTGAATGGTTCACCTTGGATTCGAACTGAGATCATTCTGTCATTTTGGAGATTGTATCCCAGTACTGCTTTTCCTACTCTTTTACGGACTATGAAGGCTACTGCATTTCTTCTGAGGGATTCTTGCCTGCAGTAGTATACCTGATGGTCATCTGAATTAAATTCACCCATTCCTGTCCATTTTAGTTCACTGATTCCTAAGATGTCGATGTTCAGTCTTGTCATCTCTTGTCTGATCACATCCAGCTTGTCTTGATTCATGGATCTTACATTCCAGCTTCCTATGCAGTATTGATCTTTGCAGCATTGGACTCTCCTTTCACCACCAGATACATCTGCAACTGAGTGTCCTTTCGGCTTTGACCCAGTCGCTTCATTCTTCCTGGCGCTACTAGTACTAGCCCTCCGCTCTTCCCCAGTAGCACATTGGACACCTTCCGACCTGAGGGGCTCATCTTCCAGTGTCATATCTTTTTGCCTTTTGGTACTGTCCATGGGGTTTCCATGGCAAGGATACTGGAGTGGGTTGCCATTTCCTTCTCCAGTGGATCAGCTTTTGTCAGAGCTCTCTGCTATGACCTGTCTGTCTTGAGGGGCCCTGCACAGTGTAGCTCAGAGCTTCATTGAACTACGGAAGCCCCTTCGCCACGACAAGGCAGTGATCTATGAAGGGACATTAAGAGACTGTATATATATCTCTTTAACTCAGAAATGGAAACTGCTTTTTAAAGTTATTTTTCAAATCTGCCTCAGCAGAGCTCTTCAGCACAAAGAACAATTAAGCCTACCAGTTCTTCAGGGGGGACTCCTGCCTTCTCTCGTATTGAGTCGATACTGTGTAGAAACTGCAAAGAAAAAAACCTTTTAGCTAGTGAAGGACTGTGTGAACAACACTTTGCGAAAAACATACGCCATTGCATGTTTGTCTTTGCTACTCCCATTGTCCTGCCCACAAAACTGAACACCAGCCAAAGATCCCACAGCAGCTAATCAAGAGCAGCGCCTGTGGAGCTGCACTCATAAAACTGCGGATTTCAGGAAAAACAAGTTTGTTGGAGACGGAATAGAACAAGCTATCCGTCTCATCATCCCTCGTTTCCCAAAGACCCGTGAACTAACGCTCCTCAAGGGCTGCCGCACGGAGAAACCGCTCCGCTCGCTGCACAGTGCTGTGCAGGCAAAGAGGCGCAGGAAGCACTGCAGCTGAGGGTCAGGGCCAGTGAAGGCTAGCACTGATGTCTCCGGCTGACTGAGACATTTCTCTACAGCTGGACTTCCAGGGAGAGGCCTGTTCACGAAGCAAGACGCCTGGTTTTCAATGAACAGGGCACAGGCCCCACGAGGCAACATCTGCACAAGGAAAAGGCATGCTGCATCGCTTTCGCCATCTCCTCTCTCGAATTCACACGTGCTGCCACGGCATTCTCCCCCAGCCCAAGTGCAAAGCCGCTCAGGCACACCTGCAGCCACAGAGCGCCGCTCTGGCAGCTTCTCTTGCAAAGACGCCCCTCGCTCTCCCACCCACTCCCCCGGCTACCTTTGTTCATGCCTCCCGGCCACAAATAACTGCTTCTACTTCTGCCATCGGCACACAAGTCGCTTCCCACACAGCGCTCTGCACTTCAGGCACTGCTTGTTCTGGCAGACTGAGTGGCTATGCTGGGGACACACTTCTCGCGGAGGCTCAGCAGCAAGGGCTGCTTGTGCGCTATGCCACTGACAGCACAGCGGGAAGCAGAAGAAAGGCAGAATGGCAGTACTTCGTACTCTGCAAGCACCAGGGGCTTTCTGGATTGTGGAGCATTTTCTCCGGCCTTGTCCAATGCCCTTATTTTGGGACTCTGTACTCTGGCTTTGAAATAGACTGGTTAATCAGACCACATACTTTCCAGGCAAATGAAGCTCAAACTATTAAGCAAGGCAAAGATCATCCAGGGAAGAGGATCTGCTCCCCTGCTCCTTGACTTCACCTCTGCTGTCGCTTCCTTCTGGTTGCAGACCGTCTCCATGCCTCCCAGCTTCCAGTGCCCATCTTCACTCACGAAGACAGAGGACAGACACACGTTGTTGTGTGTTAGGTTGCCCTGAAATATATTTTTAAAAGGAAGGGAAACAGTAATGTTGGGAATAGGTATAAAGCTCTCGTTAGTACTAATTGGGTGTCATGAGACTGTGGGGCAGAGCTGCCAAAACCACTGAGAAGCTGTACATGCCACCTGAGAGCACTTGACAAGGAGGGGAGCTTTATGTCAGGTCAAATTTAACGAGCACAATTCGATTGATTCCTGGCACATCATATCTACACAGAGAACAATGCAGGTTGCCTCAGGGGCTGCCACTTAAGTGCCACAAAAGAACTCACAAAAATACAAATAAATTGCCAAACAGACCATTTGGAGACATAGTGATCATCCTTATAAATGACAGAAATATCCTAAGAAGTCCAAGCCAAAAATTCTTTAGAAGGCAACCGAAACTGTTTAGCTGTATATTCCAACAGGCACATTCATTCATTGAGTCTGCACATATGATTAACTTGACTATGCAGGGCATCTAGGACCAGATGGTTAATATCACAAGCCTGCTATCTTATCTACCCTGGGCTCCTTGTGAGGAGAGGGAGGATACAATGAACAAGCATAAACCTTCAAGCACACAGCTTCCTTTAATTACAAAAATACGTCTCCCACCAGGAACAGACCATTTCATACTTCTTCACACTGTTAATGTTACCCAACATGGTTAGCTTTTCCTCCCAGACAGAATACCTGGCTGCAGGGACGCTGGGACATGCATGTCTAACTATGCATAGGACTGAGCCCTAAGAACTCCAATATCTGCTTCAAAATAACGCTAACTAATAGATCAGTTCTGTTAAAAGGATCAGATCTGTAATAAACATGTTTCCAAAAAAAGCTGTTCAGAAGAGAGCTTTTACTAGAGAATTTATCTTCTTTTTGAGACTGGTTACAACATGTTTGCCAAGGGGGCTTTCATCTGCAAAATCAGTGTGAATAAGACTGAATAAGCTATAAATATTAGCAGCAGGAGTATTAGTATTATTCGAGTGCATTTATATCATGCATTTTACATAGCTCCACTTCATCCTCACAACAACGACCCTGTGAAGAAATTTAGGCCCAGAGTGAATGACTGGCCATGGTCACTCAGGTGAGTTTCATAACGAGGGGACCAGAAGCCAGACCTCCCAGGTCCCCAGCCCAACACCGTAATCCCCAGACCACACTGGCCATCCCCCAGAAAGAACAAAAGAAGCTTCTACAAAGTTCTTCTTACAATCTGAAAGCAGCTCGACAGGAGAAAGGTGGGTTGCTTTCATTTCACTCTGGAACTCCACAAATTCAGAAACAAGCAGACTGGAGAAGCAGCTGCATCAGACACTCAATTTTACAAGTCCAATACCTTGCAGTCCAGGCAACACTCTATGCAAAGCAAAAACAAAACCCCCGTCCCCAAAAGCACATGCTAAACATCAACCTCTATGTGCTCACCCTGTCATGGAGGAACACGAGAGCCTGCAGAACATCATAGATTCCAGCACAGATCTCTGGAGAAGAGAGGGTCTCCAGGACCTGCTCCAGCGGTTTCACTCGCTCTGTGACCAGGTGGATTCCATCTGTTTCCACAGTGCAAGAAAGGAAGCGCAGGAGGCAAGGGTGGCGTAAAGTTTTCAGGTGCTTCCAAAATACAAGACAAAACCACTCAGTGTGAGGCACCACACACCCAATATCAAAAAGGGACAGTAGGCATGCACAGGTGTCATGGGGTTGCTATGTAATTTGAGGGCTGAAATTCTTCATTATAGTTTTCTTTTCCTACAGTTACAATTCCTGTCCATATATTCAGATTAGACTCCACCTTCATATAGTTTATAAAATAACATAGAAAATCCTGATAATCATCTTAATTACAGACAGGAGTAAAAAAAAATGGAAACTGAGATCAAAGATGAACCACTCCCTACGACTGTCCAGTTCTGAGCACTTGGGAAGGGATTTCTTGGCTATTTCTATGAAATGCTGCAGATCTTATATAAGGAAATGATTTTGCAGAACAAATTACTATGTATTACTTCCTACTAGAATTGGACATAGCGAACAGAATTTACCGATTTTGGCTTTTTACATATTTCCATTTATTTTTCTTACTCTGTAGACTACTGTTCAATGCTTTCAGCTCAAAACACTATTTTTAGTTCATATCCCTTTCTTGAACAGTGTTCAGGGGCAGCATCCAATAGGACACTGTGTGAATTACTATATTTCTACAGTGAATAATAATATAATAATATTAAATCAGTACAATACCTTGGCAGCTTTATTAACATTATCTTCATTCTCTCTCTTGTACACAAAGACAGAGGCAAGTTTGCCACGTTGTAGCACTGCTGGATAAATATTAACTCCAGAGGGCAATGTAAATGGAGGCTCTTCCAACGCATCACGCTTTAAAGCACTGCTCTCTGAGCCCATTACCTTGTAAACTCAAGCCGTTTTGCAGGGGATCTTTCTAGTATCAAAGAAGCCTTAAAGAGAAGTGATTCCAGACAAGTTAGCCACCACAAATTGCAATGTAGAATGTCTTAAATAATTTTCTATGAGGTTGAAGGAAAACACAACTACATTGCGACCGATCCACAATCTGCATCCTGTGGCAGGAAGTTGTCTGCTCATTAAAGATTCCCCCTGCCAATTAATGGGGGCTCTATACACACCAGTTCACCCCACATAGCAAGATCCTTGCTTGGAATTTTGAAGGGGCTGCCACAGAAAGCAGGGAGGTCCACTTTCATCAAAACAATCTCTCCAGAATAAATCTGGATCCAACCTATTATACTGGTTCTTGTGTTGGCAAAATTGAGATTGAGGTTCAGTCCTAAACAGAGTTTCTTGCAAATAAACCCCATTAAACATAATGGGATTAAAGCCAAGTAAACATTTGTAAGATTGCACTGAATGAAACTTGGATCAATGTGTTCACATTCCCAGCAATGCCTTCAACTTATCGATTCCAAAGTTTCAAACACATCATGTAGCTTAACCATCATTGTGCTACAGTCAACAGCACACAAACGCTGTCAGTGCGGAACCATTAAAGCAGAAGCACTGAGACAGCACCAAAACACGCACCCTCATCAATTCTGGAAAGAGAAAACTAGTTGTTCTTGTTTCTTGTGCAGCTCAGACAGCAGAAGGGGCCTCAGCCGCAACAGGAAGGGCTTCACCATGTCCCCCCCCCAGCTGCGGAGATTGGAAGTCAATCAAAAGATTTGAGTCCTTACAAAAATAAATGCAAACAGGACTAAAGCAGGATTAATAAGAAAATATTGATTTATTTTTTCATACAAACAGTATTATTTTTACAGCATAACGAACTCATTGGTGTTTGGTTTTGAAAAAATCTGTATACTCATTTGTGGCTTTGCCCCTTGAGCCTAATTCTGAGCACTCTAACCATCCCCACAGGCTGCACAAGTTTGTTTTTCTCCTTGACTCAGAAGAACAAAGAAACAGCACAAATACAATTACAGCACTTGCCTTCAGGATCCTGTGCTTCAGAAGTTAAGCTGCCTTTCCTTCTTTCTTTCCTTCCTTCCTGCCTGCTTGAAAGTCCTGTTAAAATCAGTGACCATGCCAGATAGGCCCCCTTGAAACAGCTTGCTGTTTGTGTATTATATTGCTTCAGATGCAGAATGCAATTATATTGCCAGATTTCTCCTCTGTAATCTTAAATTACCAAAGGCAATCATTTTAAGTTTCTGACAAATAATTTTGCCACCGACAGAAAATCTCCTGCGGACAAATAAAGTCAGTGAGAACTCTGGCATGACAGGAATGCATAAGAAGAAGAAACGAAGTAAATATTTTCCTCTGTACTATGTAAGCAGCATACTCTTGATAGCCAGAACGTCATACGAGGAAATGTGTGCTCTTTTAATCTGAACCAACTTAAAGATCCTTTTCCCCATGGCACACCATGAAGGCCTGGCTTGCAGGAAGCCTGGCGAACCCCTCCCGCCGCCCCTACCCATAAACCGGCAGCCCCCTCCTCCCCGCACCGGAGGCACAGGCCCCAGCGCCCAGCTCTTCCGGCCGATCAGGTGGGCAGCCTGCAGGGCTGAGGTCCGGCTGCGAGTGCGAGAAAGCCCTGGGGCGCCCTGGAGCAGGACGGCTTGCGGCGGCGGCCGGAGCCCGCTTCTGACAGACCAAGGCGGCCTCCTCGGGAGGGAGGAAGGGAGGGCGCCCCCCTGCGCGGCCCCGGAGTGCCCCCACTCGGCCCGGCCTTCCTCCCGGGGCCGCGCTTCGGCGCCTGCGGCCGAGTGGCCCGCGCCGGGCGCCCCGGCGACGCGGCCCCGGGGCGCTCCCTCTCGGCCTCGCCTACCTCGCGCGGCTGTGGCGAGCGCCGCCCCGGCGAGGGTCCCTCAGCGAGCGGCCCCGCGCAAGGCCGCCCGGACGCCCGCTCACCTGCGGCGCCACGCACCGGCTGCCCGCGGAGCAGGAGGGCACCGCGCGGCCTCACTCGCCGCCCCACTCCCTCAGCGGCCCTGCCTCAGCCACGCGGGGAGGGGGCGGCTTCCGGCGGGCGCACCATCGACTCCGGCGGCCGGAGCGGCCGGTCCGCGGGGGGGGGCGCGCCTGACGCCACTTCCGGCGGCGCGTGCGCGGGCGGCCATGCAGGCTGAGGGCGTTGCACGGCGCAGTCGCGCAGCGCTCAGAGAGGGAAAGAAAAAGCGTGTTTCCTTTAAGGCGACAGTATTTCAGCCTTTCCTCCCTGGTTATATTAGTTCTGCATGCATTTCACCTTTGAAAAGTTAACGTTGCGATTCTTTAGATGGGGCACCGCCAGTGGAAAGTCACTTGTGCCATGCGCTGTCTACCAGCCCAGTTTCATGATGTGTGATGCCTCCAAACTCCTTATTAAATATGTAATCGTGTGCTCATCACAAAATATTTTCTCCAGATTTGTAATATTTCATTATCCAAGAATTTGAGATACAGTGATGTTATCCTTTGCCCCTAAGTACATCCTTAGCATATGAAGTTAAAATGACCAAAGCACTGGTCCTTTTCAGATAATTGTTTCCTTCTTCCTCAGAATTTCACCCTCTTCTCAAAGATCTTTCTTTTCTACATAGAGGTTTCATAGTATTTAGAAACATAGAAACAGAGCAAGTCAGAAGGGGTCTCCCAGGCCATCTAGTCTGACCCCCGATCTCTCACTAGATTTCTCACTATTATGAGCCTTTCCATTGTTTTTCCTACAATGGACGTAAGGCTAACTGGTCTGTAATGTCCCATGTCCCTTCTACTACCCTTTTTGAAAATTGGGACCACTGAAGCCACCCTCCAGTCCTCTGGAACTTCACCTGTTCTCCACGAGGCCACAAGGAATAGAAACTAGAACTGCCAAAATCTTACAGCCCTTACACAAATTGTTGGTGGAATTGCACTTGGAGTATTGTGTCCAGTTCTGGTCACCTAACCTTTCAAAAGACATTGTTGAGTTGGAGAGAAGGGCAACAAAAATGGCCAGAGGGCTGGAGAAGCTCCCCTCCAAGGAGCGGCCAGGACAACTTGGACTGTTTCGCTTAGAAAACGACGAGGAAGGGGCGACATGGCAGAAGCGTTTAAAATAATGCATGACGAGGACAAAGAGGAGAGGGAGAACTCAACACTCAAACCCACAGTCATCCCATGAAACTGAGCGTGGGGAGGTTTAGGGCAGAGAAATGAAGCATTTCTTCACACACTTCTAAACTATGGAATTTGCTGCCACGGGAGGCGCTCATGGCCACCAATCTGGACAGCTTTAAAAAGGGATTGGAGCGATTCATGAGCCAGGAGGCTGTCAGCGGCTACCAGCCTTGCTGGCCACGTGCTCCCTCCTTCCCCAGAGGTGGCTCGCCTGCACACACCGGCTGCTGAGGAGCTGGGGAGGTGGAAGTCTCACACCTGTCCTGCTGGAGCGATCCTGTGGGCAGCTGGTCTGCCATTGTGTGTCTGGAGTCCTGCACTAGATGGACGTTTGATCTAGCAGGGCTTGGCTTATGCTCATATGAGCATAATCCCAAATTTGCCCTCCCGCCCCTTGAGATCGGCAGCAGAGGCCCTCCTCCGGGAGCCCTCCGGGAGAGACATCAGGAAGCAAAGTACCCGGAGGAGGGCCTTCTCTGCGGTGGCGCCCCACCTATGGAATGTGCTCCCCAGAGAGGTCCGCCTGGCGCCGTCGTTGTTTTTTGGAGCCAGGCCAAGACCTTTTTATTCAAACAGTATTTTAAAAATGTTTAATATTTATATATTTTAATTGTGCAGCCAGTGTGTTTCCAGGTTTTAATTGTAATTGTTGTTGTTTTATTTATTTATTTCTGTGAGCCATCCCAAGGCTATGTAGCAAGGGGATGGCGTATAAAAACTTTAAACAAACAAACAAATAACATCCCATGATTCATCCCTTGTTGCCCTCTGTTCTTTTCTCGGCTCATTGTCATCAAACTGCTGGTTCCGTTTTTAGACTGGGAAAACTGTGCATCACTCACGTATGTTGGCATTCCTTGGGGATCAGTTTTTGGTCCTCCGCTGTGCTCCTTGCACGCATTTCTTTCTTCAGACCTTTGGATATCAGTACCTGCACCATGATGTCCAAAGGAACGCCTCTCTTCCCTCCAAATCCCACTTTGTCACTTCTGGCCCAAGTGTCTCAGTGCCATCTTAAACAATCCGAGACTACATTTCCCATCTTTCCTCTGGAGCCAACCTTCCCAATGCTCCTTCCCTCACCACTTCTTACCTCTTTAGTACATTTATATCCTGCCTTCCTCTCAGGAGCCAAGTGGCCTTGCTGATCCAGCCCGCTCTTTCCATTGTAATCCTCTTTCCCAGATGTGAAGGCTTGCCTTTCCTTTGCTCCGCAAGTCACATCACTGCTCCCTGTACGATAGCAGGAAAATCAGTCCCGTCTTTCCCATCCCCTTGATTAAAACTCCATTGTCAGAGTTCAGTTCTATCCAAACCTCATCACCAAAATCATCGGCCGCTCTCATTGCTCAGAGCATCCTCACTTCCCTTCATGAACATGCTCTCCCCTTCAAATTAATGGACTAATCGTGTCATTGGAATATTCTATGTAAATTTATGGACCTGTACACCAGGTCAAAATCAACCTTTGCTTTCAGCATCAGACAAAAACCCTGTCAAAAGATGTGTCCTCAGGGAGGTGGAAATTCATTTGTATGGGGAGTTCAGTATTTCTTTATATTCTACCATAATACCAGTGTAGGAAATGGTGTTAGTATGAGCTTGGATATTTTAATTTAAGTACAAAATAACACTATAAAAGCACCTAACATCTTTTTCTTCATATATTATGGAGTTCAAGCTCAGGTGAAACCACTCTTGGATCCTTTAGGGAAGTTTCCCCTCCCCACTTGTTTCTGTGGGATTAGTGTGTACAATCTGGATGCACATTACACCTTGGGAAGCCTATTAGTAGCTATTCAAGTGGTCTGAGGTTAGAGCCAAAGAACTGAGGACCAAATGGACAAGCCCTGGTGGTCTGTGAGCACAGCAGGGCTCCGAGGAGAAATCTGGCATTTGCTCCATCGTTTAACAAAAGCCAACATAAACAGCTAGATGTAAAGCCATTAAAGCAAACAGTTTTCCACACAATGTAGTAAAGGACTAAGGGGAAGGATTTCTTGCACATTCTGGGCAGCAAAATGAACAAGGGAAAATTACTCTCCTGCAGTGGGAGGTCTGGTTTTTCCACACACTATTTTAATTTCATTGGGAATTATTTGTGCTGAAACATTAAGGTCTGCCAATTTATTTTAACACTCAAAGACAGAACAAGTAAGAATGTACCTGTGGTAGAATGTGAATAGGAATTAATATCATTTTTGTCATGTTAATTATGTACCAAGGATGGCGTGACTAAAAATGGTCCGACATTATTGCAGCCTGCCACAAACTGGCCCCTTGTGGGACAGGGCAGTCAAAGTTAAAAACACACCTGAATGTCTTATGTTTCAGAGATGAAACTTTCTGTAAAGGTTGCATCATCATGCATCATAAGAAACATGCAAAAAAGAAGTCAGTCTTATTTACATGCGTTTATTCCATGTAACATGGACTGAGCACCTTGGCAGAACAGTTCCTTGCCTGCTCTGCTATTCAGAAATCTATGGAGAAATTGGAATGGTTTCTCTCTGTTTCCATTATCTGAGAATATCCTTATGCTGGTAACTTCTGGCCTTCCAGACCCCACATCTTACTCACAGGTTAATCACCAGTTTACTCGTGTGCCTCTATCTCCATTTGTCTTTTTCGGTGAAAGCAGCTTTGGTGAAGAGTCTCTACCCTTCAACTCTCCCTCTGTTTACAGTTCAGGCATGTTGAACCTGGTCCTTGAGACCAGTGGCAAAGGCTGCAGGATATCAGGTGTTGCTGCAGAGCTTCCATTCGTTTTTGACAAAATAGAAATGGTAGGCAGACAAACCAGAGTTGAGAACAGAGCTCTCTTGGTAGAGGTAGATCACCACATCAAAAGACACTGATGGAGTCTAGTCAAATGCGGAGGACTGAAAAATACTAGAGAAATCGCAGAGAAAAACAGGGCATTCTGTCATTGGAATTTGGACTGCTCTGACTTTTTCCAGAATATTCAAGAGTAACTTTTAGTACTGAACAATTCACTGAACCAAATATTTTTTACATCGAGAATGGAGGGAGCAAATCTGGCCCACATCCATCTCTCCCAGATCTGCTCTTTGGGAAATAATTGTGTGTACAAAAAGCACCACTGGCACCAAGGAGAGGGGAGACCACCCATGGTGAGCTCCATCATCTCTCAGGTGTGCTGCAACCCATTCACAAAACAACCTGCCAAGACTTATTGTTACAGAGGGCTAGCAGGACTTTTGAACCTACCTCCTGCATGCCAAATACCCAGACACTGCAAGGAGACTCAGAGGGGATCTGTTGGCAACATGCAGGTATGTGAGGGGATGTCACATGGAGCTGGGTAGAGACCTGTTCTCCCCTGCAGAGGACGGCAGGAAGCGCTCCAGCAGAGCAAAGCTCAGGGAACCCAGGTTCCATTTGGATGCCAGGAAGCACTTCCTGACAGTCGGGACCCCGAGGGTGTGGAATGGGCTTCCCCGGGAGGTGGTTGAGGCCCCATCGGAGAGGGCGTTCAAGGATAGGCTGGATGTCCACAAGGTGGGCATGTCGTGAGCGGAGCCGGCTGGAGCCGGGGGTCAGACTGGATGGCCTGGGAGACCCCTTCTGATTCGCTCTGTTTCTCTGTTTCTAAATATGTAATTCTGGAACAGTCTGCATAGTTCTAAGCATGAACGAGGCACTCGGATTCAAAGCAGCATTCAGCTTCAGGAGTGATGAATATAGGATTTCCAAAACTCTCTGCAAACGATCCCACAGAGGCTCTGTGGTTAAACCAACCAGAAATGACAGGAATTGCGGGCAGAGGCATCTGAACAGCTAAGAGATTAACTAGTTTGTATTAAAGCCGATGTAGTAACCAAGACGAGAGCCCGTCACGCTTTGGGATATGAGCCTCCCACATGCATTTCCTGGCTCCTCGTGACACTGACCCTAACTGGCATCCTTGCAAGAGCTGGCCAGCCTGTACCCCTTGGGCTGGATCGTGTGCAAACCAAGGTTGACGCAGGACCTGACCTAAGACTAGCCCAGCAACCAAGGCAAGCAGCACAGAAGTGCTCCGATGGATGCTTTCACAAGTCATGTTGGGGTCAGTTGGACCCTGGACATGTAATATAACGCCATGATGCTGGATATGATGACCACGGGCTTTTCTCTGAGAGCGCCAAGCAAGAGCGGCAGAAGCAAATGTTGCCAGCAGGTTATAAAGGGCCTTGGAGACCACCAAGGCCGACCACCTGCTCAACACAGGACCTGCAGTGCAGGGTGTGTCCACAGGATCCCTGGCAAGGGCCTCCTTGCCTCTGCTTAAATAGCTCCACCAAAGCTAAGAGCTTCGCCAAGCCACAGAAGACACCACTGTGGCTTCCAGCTGTGCAAGTCACAATCAACGATGATGGCAGCAGCCAGGGGAGATAAGAACAAATGACTAAGTAAAATATCTTTTAAGCAGCAGTTATGAGGAAAACAGTTTTTAAAGCTCTGGACCCAGCTCCCTATTGTAATGCTCAGGCTTGGGTGGGTGCGGGGAGGTCAAAAAAGAACTGAGCAGAGACTTGGGCCTGCAAAGATTTAGGAGTTTCTAGGCATTAAGAGGGCAAGAGATAAAAGACAAGAAGCCAGGAATCTCTTTTTGGGATGCACGGGCACAACTGGAAACTTGAGAAACTTCTGTGTGCACCGCCACAAAATGGCTTCTCGTGAAGATGTGACCAGCCAACAGTGAGCTACAGAAGTAAGACTGAGAAGTGGTGGCAAACAACCAACCAAAGGGGTAGAATGGGGAGAAAGAGCAAGGCTACAAAGTGAGAGAAAGAAAACTGCTCTAACATTTTTCAAGGGTGTGCGTGTGCAAAGGAGGCAGGGAGTGGAGAGCTTTATGGGCATGGTTGGAAGTTTCAGTGGGGAGCTCTGCTCTAGGTCTAGAAATTTATGAAATGCTGGTCTTTACAAGCACAGATTCTACATGAAAGTCTGCCCACAAACCATAAAGAACACTTTTTAGCTGTTACTTGATCCCAGTAAAATTGAAAAGAAAAAGATTAGCCACAAGTGAATATTGTTGGTAAAGTTCTGGAAAAGGGGAACATTAATGTACACAGCTTGAAACCATTTTATACTGTGTTTGATAATCACTTTATTTAACATGTCTGGGGGTTGCCACTAAAGCAGTACGGCCAAAATGATATTTGCAAGCAACCCCAATATTACTACTCCTAGGAGTGCAAAGAAAACAACAACAACAGAGAGGCAGACCTTGAAAAAGTGCTATAAAATTGTTTATGATAAAGTATTCAAGTAGAAACCAAAACCCTTCTAATTCTAAAATCAGTTCAGGCAGCAAAACTGTTGCAAAACATAACTTATAAGCAGTTGCTCCCAAGTAAGAATAACTAAACCCCAAATCGAGATCCAGACGCACTCTTTCTAGTTCCTTTTTGAAGTTTGTCTTCTTTTTGGCTTTCACCTTCATGGTGCTGCCACCCGGATTTCTAACAAGGCAGCATCCAATATCTGGCTTTTCTTGTAATCAGCAGAAAACAACGGATGGTTTGAAATTTATTTCAACCACAGAAGTCACACATCCATGCAATAACATCAATACAACATAGGGCCATCTTCAACAGTTGGGTAAGGTGTGCAGCTTGTTTGAAAGACATCACACAGAAAGGGGACACCCAGCTTTGGATGCAGTGGTGTTGGTGCACTATCCGATGTTGCTGCATATAACCCGCAGCAGTCAGAGGATTGTGGGCATCTAAGCAATGCGGAGGCAATTGCCACCTTGCTTCTCCCACCCTGAAAAGGTGGCATTTGTTGATTTTGGCAGTCTTTCACCTGCTCGTGAAGAGGAGAGGCTAAGGCACCCCCAGGATTCCTTTTACGTTGGTGGAGCCTCCCTCCTCCCCCCTTGCTTCCCAGAAGGCCCCCACAGGTCAGAGGCTGGCTCCCAAATTGCACCTGCAACCTCAGAGCTGCTCCTAAGGTGGAAAGGATTGAGCCCTTGAGTGGAGGGGGGCACATGCTCCGGCCCTGGAATGCATTTCTGAGAACTGGAATGCCAACCTGTCCCATCTTTCTACAGGCAGTGTCTGGAGGCCACAGGAACGTGCTCTTACTTAGTAGACTTCAAGGACATTTACAAAAGATGAATTAGTCACAGTTTCATGAGCTAATTAAATTATTGCTTAAACAAAAAGTAACAAGCTTTGTTAAAAACTAATGGAGCCTAGGCATTCAGTACCATAGACTACACAATCTGTTTTTAATAATACTTAAATTAGTTGCATAACATACATAATAATATTTATTTTCCAGTCAGTAGGTTCTAACATCGGGCAAAAACTGTACAAAAGAAAAGCATAAGGGTGGAAAAGGAGTCACTGAATGACTAACCTCTCTTTGGAATAACACATACCAAAGGGAATTACCACACAGACCTGTACACAGTAGCATCGTGCATCACTAAAGAAAACCTTAATTCAGCTACAATCGTTCAAGGAAACAGGAAGATATTTGTTTAATTCAGCAGATGGCTCTATCGGGCTCCAAAGCTGTAGTAGTAAGGTTCATCCGGTCGATATCCATAGGCAGTGGTCGGGCGGCTTGGGATGCCCATGGGCTGGCCAAATCCATCCACCGCAACGCTACACAGAAAAGAGCAGAGTCGTGTTGAGTTTTTAAAATGCAGATGGAACGCCATCCAGTGCGAGGGTCCTTGGAGCTTTTCAGCATGCAGAAATACGTTGGCAGATATATTTGAGCACAACTGCTGAAATCCTTGTGTGGGTAAAGGGCAGTGGTGATCAAACCAGCCAACGCTTCTGCAAATAGCTGCTCACACTTGTGTCTGGCTGCTCTAACATGTCAGTGGCCACTTGGCTTCTCCCTTCCTTTCTGCCAGTTTAAAACTTGCAGGCTGTGATTTTTCCAGCTGATGGAAGGGAAGTCACCATCACATGTGAGTTCCTGGTTCAAAAATTACTGCTCCTATGAGCAATGGTTTGCTGGCTATCTGATCATGGAAATCAACTGTAAATAAGACAAGAAGCATGTGAAGTGGGGGCACCGAGCAACAAAACCACGAGCCAAGAATGAAAGGAGGGAGGAGCGACATTACAGTGTGGCACCAGATGGGGCCAAAATAGTTCACAGCTGGTGACTGACCAACTACACATTACAGTGGAACAACGGACATCAACTGGAGAGACTCTCACGTATCAAATGCAACACGGAAGTGCCTTCGAAGTCCATGGGACTGACTCGCAAGCCAATTGGCATAGACTGCATTTTACAGGGGAAAACAAAGTTTGGGTTATTAGTCGAAACACTGCCCAAACATCTTGATTGCTTAGCTAAGCAATTCTGTCTCTGATGACATTATTTTTATCCTCATTAAAAGATGAAAGCAAGACTACTTTCATACAGGTTCAAGTTGATGTTTCCACGTTCAACCTTTTGGAATTTGAAAAGGCCACATAACTTGAAGGTGGGAGAAATGGGATACTGCAGGTACATGTTCTGTATGTAGATAAATGGCTCAGTAAGAACTGATTTGCTGGCAGTTCAAGAAGGATTCTTACATGTAATTGTTAATACAACTGAGAAGAGGAGGTTGTTTAAAGAGAACATTTATGATGCCTGTGAAAATAATGCCACCAACGAAATCAGCACAGTGAAGGTTATTCTGGAAGATTTACTGGAGGCTTCCAATATTCCTGTGTTAAAACGTTAGGAGAATCTATACAAGTCTCACGCAGAGGCTGCATTCACATAACATGACAAGCAGCCCTGCACGGTTGCCATGGCTTGTGGTGCTTGTATTTTTTTTAAACCAGAGTCCACCTGAGAGCAAGTAAGCCATCGCCACATTCTCACGGTTGCCATCCTCCCTGCTCAGCCCTTCTGCGGTTGACATCCATCCCATCAGCCACTGTGCCTGAACTTCCGTCGCAAGGTGCACTGTCCCCACCTATGTTGCCCACCCATCGGTTTGCACATGCAGGCAGGCTGGCTGAAGCAGCTCCAGTGGCTGCTGCCCTTCCTGGGGGACTCCATGGTGGCTGCATCCAGGACCGACCAGAGGAACTGCAGGACCGAGCAGTCGTCCTTCTGGTGGTTTCTAAAGACCAAACTCGCCACGCTGAAATACCTGACTAGACAACCAGACAGACCAAGAATGGGCAAAAGCCACACTGGCTTGTTGTGTTGTGTGAACCCAGCTGAACCTGCAGGCAAGACTTAAAGAAGCAGAGGTGGCTTGGTTCTGGGCACAGGGCGTGACAGGAAAGAAAGCCGGAAGAGGAAAATGAAATCGAGGTCTGTTATTTAAATAAAGCAGGCAAAGGATCGAAGGGCTCAAGGAATCCACTGAACTCATTTGATGACAAACTCCCAGCCAACACAGATTTGCATATTGGTGCTCTTCCTTCTTTGTGCAGCTGCTGATGAGGCTGCAGCCTTCCAAAAGCAGCGGCACCCGGCGTGCCTTGATGGCATGAAAGGGGAAGAGGCAGGGATGGAGGCCTGGCTCGTGAAGAAAAGGAAAAGGAAGCCCCACGCACTGCTTCATCGCAACCAGCACACATTGTCCCCGATACAGCTATAGGACCATGCATGCTTTGGTATCAGGTATTTTATATTCAAGCTGCCTTGAATTTTTGAAAAAGCGTGGGCTGCAAGCTTTGTAAAAACAAAACAAAAGAAAAAAAAGGCCCAGCTTAGCATCCTATAACTGGAAAAAGAAAAGAAAAACCCAACCACCACCTTGGTGTTCAAGCAGCACACATGGAAGAGCTAGCTACCACTTCCCAAAGGAATGTCGGCGAGAAGAAGCGCACGGAGTCCATTTGTCCAGGGCGAGGCTGGGCATAGCGCTGGGGCAATTTCATGTGGAACGACAAGGGAAGGACCTGCTTTATGCCTTTACGTTTTGATAGCACAATCTCTGGCAGAAGTTCAAGAAGTTCAACTTGTGTTAACCGTGCTTGGTGTTACTTCAAGAGCAGAAATGTTACAGAAGGTGCTTTGTATGTGACAAAGCTGCTTTATGCGAAGTCAGATCGCTGGCCCCTCACACAGCACTGTCTGCTCTAACTGGCAGCAACTCCAAGATTTAGGCAGGACTTTCCCAGACTTGCTACCTGAGATGTATTTGTTTCAATATTTATAAATTGCCTTTCTGGCCAAGTACATCCAAGGCAGTGACTAATAGCTCTTGCAGACCAAACGGCGGACCCACTGCTGGCAGAAACGTTGTGGCTTCTTGCACACACTTCTTTCTTTGCTGGATAGAGGAGGAGATGAGGCAGAGGGTCCATCCAGAAGTCTTTTCCCTCAACCACTAGATGGCACTCTCTCACCTCTGGACAGCGCTAGCCACTTCCAGCCATTTTCAATCTACGTCAACGCGGCTCAAACTACTCCTGAACACAGATTTAATTAGGTACGGAAGGTGAGTCATGGTTTCAATTACATTCCGATCAAATCAGCCCTTTTAGTTCAACAAACAAGTAAGTAATTGGGTACAGAGCCTTACAGTTCAGAGCTCAAAATTCTTGGGTTATTTCCAAATTGTTCATGCATGTGGTGACTCAGGTACAACCATTTGGGATGCGACACCAAAGTGATTCTCAAGAGTTCTGACTGCAGCACTGGTCGAACGGACAGGCTGCTTTTGTGGCATGGTAGCTGCTCCGCTCTGGCCACGTTGTGAAGGTCTCAGGTGCAGTTCCAAGCGTTGGGCAGATCCCACACCAGGGACCCAGTGCAGCTGAATGCACCTCCTCTTGGAGATGGCGACCAAGGGTGAGGTTGCCACAAACCCAACCTGGCCATTACTGCTCTCCCTGATTCTAGGAACACGGCAGCTCTGTGATTATCTTTTTAGGCTGGTACAATCACGGAAGACATGTCAGCTAATCTTCAGATCACCATAATAATCAGTTCATACTTGTAATGCTGTCAGAAGCTGGTTGCCTTAAAAGGTGCTGCCTTGATTCTTCATGGAATTCCCCCTTCCCCAGGTGTCTTGAAGCTTCAGCTGGGAGAAATAAGCTAGGAATAATCCATATCCCAGGCTGCAAGTGAGCAGACTCATTGTTGCAAGCACAGTGGAAAGGCAGGGCACTTCCTGCCTAGACCTTTACCATATAATTCCCCTGCCTCTTTCACGCAATGCTATGGGGGCTCTATCTGTTGATACCGCTCATTTGTGACCCCCCTCCGCCTGCCTTGCCCTTCCAGCCACTGCCTTCTTCACTGAGCATGGCTCTTGAGGCTGCTGGCACCTGGTGGGGGCAGAGAGGCGTGAGCCATCCCAGGCACACGGGAAGCCAGGCCGTGTTCCCCATCACGCGCGGAGGCAGAGACAGCCATGCTTCTGTGCTCGGCTGGATGCCCGTAGCTGGAGGACCCCCACGCTGACAGAAGCCTCGTGTCATTGATCAGACATGCTGACAAGTCACACACGCTCAGAGTCATCGTCTCCTCCCGGGCCTTTTATGCAGTGACTGGGAAACATGGAGTTAAAGTCGTGAACTGCTTAGCTTAGGCTAATTACTGTTTAACACTAACCTCAGTTGCTGGATCATTTTGGAGATCCGTTAGAAAGGAACTGTGTATTTTACCCCTATGCACTCTTAATGATTTGTTGTTTTAGTCTGAAATCATTTCCAGCCATCAGTTACATTTGTGGTCTCTCCGACATATGCACTTCTCTCGAGCACAAACATTTCTTTTTCCTATTGGCCTGCCAGCCTTGTCAGAACAAATTTCACTGTAAACTACAGGCTGATACGCAAAGCTCTTGAGTTACCCGAGCTGCTGGCGTGATCCAGGACCTCTTTACAATTACAGCTTTCTAATTTGCTTATAAGAACTTGTCACAAGAGGAAATGTTCCAAGAATTAGGATACATTTTATAAAGTTACTGGGAGCTATGCTGATTCATAGCGAATAAAAAGCCACATATATTCCGGGCCCCTAAGGCGGCTCAGACACATCAAAATGCAATGACCAATCATAGTCAGAATTTCACCCATACATGGCAGATCTTTCATACCCGTGCTCCTCCAGAGCCACCAGAGTTCTGGTGCACAGGTCTGCCTCAGGGCCCAGACCTGCATGCCCAAACAGGAGTGGGCAGCACCTTCCCGCTCTGATCCCAGCAGACCTGATGGCAGAGCCAAAGCAAATCAGGGCCCACCACACGGGAAACGCAAGCCTCCATATGCCGCAGGGCGGGCTGTGTAACTGCCTGCAAGGATTCTCACAAGGACGCAACTGTTCTGGCGCTTGCGCTCGCTCGGCCACGCGTCTGGAAGCGCTAAGGTGGGGCTCTCCCGTGTGGGTGGCTGAGGGCACGGGTGGCTGAGCAGAACTCGGGGACTGCCGCCCCCTCAAGGAGGCAGCCACCGTGACTGCCGTGCTGGCTGAACCGGCCCAGGCACCGAATGAGAGAGGCAAGGCCGGCGCAGATGATGCCTGCTGGCCGCATGTGCTGGCCGGCTTGTCCGATGCATTTCAGCCCACTCGACTTGAATGCAGCGCATTGTGGCAAAAATGCACAGAAGGAGCGGGGTGCCATGCCATGGGCCTGCGGTGCACTTTGGTGTTCGTAAGCCCAGTGCGCAGAGCATTCGTGGCT